GTGGGTTTCCTTCTTTTTGCACCACCCTGGTACAATCCCATTCAAAATGGCGGTCGGATACGCTGCACCATTTTTATAAATTCAATTTACATCCCAATAGTTTCATCACCATTATAAATATGCACTTTCTTCCTGAACTTTATCCAATTTTTTATTCAAATACAATGTCTTGTAATCATTTACAATTTTGAAATTTCAACATCAATAGCAGAATTTGAACTGTATCGGGCTAGCATTCCTGCAGAGGGCGCTGTTGCAACACACAGCTGAAAAATACTGCTGATTCAAAACGCTATCAGCACTTCCTCAGCTAGCTATGCCATCAATGCATTGAGTAGTTACTTGTTACATAGACAAAAAAATGGAAGGCTTTTGTTTTCCGTAAGGATGGCATTTTTGAAGACACCGCATTATTTTTTCCCCATTTGTTGGCTTTGCTCAGTACGTCTGCTCGTCATCACAGTTTTCCGTCCAATGGCCAAAGACTGAAAAACAAATAGAAAAACCAAACATATCACCTTGAAATCCAGAGTTTTATTTCACTAGACATCTTCAAGCTGTTAACTATTAAAACTTATACATATTCATAAGCCAAAGTCAATTCTTTCATTGGTTGAAATTTTGATTTTGGTACTGACTTTGCAACAATAGCAATTGCTGGTTATTCTATGGAAACCATAGGAGGGATATCCACAGGAATTTTGTCAACTTTTTGATTATAACCTAAATATGTTTGTTGCCAAAAAGCGATAAACACCATTTTGTTGCCCTTTTGAAGCCTGCCCTCTCCTGGTTGTCCACAGTAAGTTTCGACAGCTTTTATGTAAGCACCGCAAAAAATGAAAGTCCACACTCAGTGGAGGGGTCATAACTTTGAATCTGATCATCTTATATGTCATAGACCTTTAGGGAAAGTTGTTGGCTACATTTTGATACCCCGTTTGCTACCAAAGACTTTAAATCGTCCAAGATTGACAACGATTTATGAAAAACGATGCAGCTTGAAAAGTTGCAAATCTAAAGAGTACGTGAGTGGAAAATGCCCAAAACGAATGGCAGGGAATACTGATCGTACAGTGCTTGCAAGCTCCCATGCAAGAAACAAAAAACGAGGAAATCCCAATCTTTACAAGACTTTGTACAGTGTTTTTCAATTTTTAATGGCATAAGTGTTAAGTGAAAAATGAGGAAAGCAGCTGATCCGAGGAAAAGTTGCATGCCTGATGGGAGCACACGAATTAAACTCCCCGCATTTTGTTCGGGCACTGTGCAGTCGTTAGGGGCCAATCACAGGCATGTGTGGTTACGCTAAGCAATATCTCCTCACGTAATGCATAATTTTTCATAAACTGTTGTCAATCTTGGACGATTTACAGTCTTTGGTAGCAAACGGGGTATCAAAATGTAGCTAACAACATTGCCCATAAAATAATAAAATAAATAATAAAATAATAAAAATAAAATAAATATATATAGCGCCTTTTTCCATAGGAAACAAAGCCGTGAGGGAGAATGCAACCAAAGACAGGTAACTGAAGTATATGAACATATGAGACCCATTATGTAGCACCTTTTGCTAGGTGCTGCGGCGCATATTGCAGCCACTGCCAGAAACACCGCGGCAAATCCCTTCTCTTAGCGATAAGTGTTACTGGGTTCTTTAACGTGCATTACACAACACACGGGACCTACGGCTTTACGTCCCATCCGAAGGACGAAGCAATAATGGTAAAGTGCCTTGCTCAAGAGCACAAGCACCATGTTCCCACGGTCAGGATTTGAGTCTTTGTACCACGGCACACAAGTCGAACACCGTAACCATTGGACCACTGTGCAACATTTTCACTTTTCTCAAATGGATCTATCGCGCGTTTTGGAAATACACTCTTCAAATACCACATTTTTTTAGTACAGAATTTGGTTGCATCATTGAGTTTCTGAAATATTTATATGTACGTGGTTTACCTTCGCATATATCACAGTACGCTCTGTCCTCAAGTCTGGAACCATGAAACTGGGACGGCGGCGGACTGTCTGAACTGGACTGTAGGGGGCAGTCTTCGGTGTCGTGGAGGTCAAACACGTCGCAGATGTCACAAAACAGTCGCGGCGGCGGCATTCTATTGGACAACTCAAGGCTGAAAACAAACAAAAAAAGTGTGTGAAAAATCAGTTTGGAAATTGGACAGGTCCAAATCAATAAAGGGGAGGGGCAGGTCTGAATCAATAAAGGGGAGGGGTTGGTCCAAATCAATAATGGGGAGGGACAGGTGCAAATCAACAAAGGGGAGGGGCGGGTCCAAATAAAAAAAGGGGAGGGACAGGTCCAAAGCAATAAAGGGGAGGGGCTGGTCCATATCAATAAAGGGAAGGGCTTGGTCCAAATCAATAAAGGGGAGGGGCTGGTCCAAATCAATAAAGGGGAGGGGCTGGTCCAAATCGATAAAGGGGAGGGACAGGTCCAAATCAATAAAGGGGAGGGACAGGTCCAAATCAATAAAGGGGAGGGGCAGGTCCAAAACCAATACAGGGGAGGGGCTGGTCCAAATCAATAAAGGGAAGGGGCTGGTCTAAACCAATACAGGTGAGGGGCAAGTCCAAATGAAAAGGAGGTAGGGCAGAAAAGGGAAATGGCATAAAGGTTTGGAAAAAGCAAAGACAAGTTCTAAATGGCAGAAAAAAGGGTAAGTTATTGTGAATAGATGTGGTTATGGAGAAGTAAAAATGGGAGGGGCTGCGAATGAGTTTCTCCAGGGGAGGGACTACGATTGCAAGGGGGAGGAAAATAGATCTTCCTGCTCACTCCATGTCGTCCAGTGATAGGTCATTATGGGCCCCGTTCATCCCTCCTTCCTCCATGATCTCTAGCCGTGCTCGGAGCTCGTCATTTTTCCGTTGGAGGTCGACAATGACGGAGTTGAGGAAGGTAACCTTTGGAGAAAAAAGAAATTCCCGAGGATGAGAATGCAGTTCCTTTTTTATCATAAGTCAGACACAAGTCAAATCCCACATCAAATCGAGTCAAATCCCAAGTCAAATCCCAAATCAAATTTCACATCAAATTTCAAGTCAAAAATCCCAATCAAAAAGCAGGTCAAATCACAGGTCAAATCCCAAGTCCAATCCCAAGTCAAATGACAAGTCACATCACAACTCCAATCACAAGCCAAATCCCACGCCAAATCTCAAGTCAAATCCCAAACAAATCCATGTCAAATCCCAGGTTCAGTCACAAGTCAAATCCCAATCAAATCCATGTCAATCCCAGGTTATAAATCACAATTCTAATCCCAATCAAATCCCATGTCAAATCCCAATCAAATCCATGTCAAACCCAGGTTAAACAACAAGTCAAATCCCAATCACATCCCATGTCAAACCACAAGTCAAATCCATGTCAATCCCAGGTTAAATCACCAGTCAAATCCCAATCAAACCCCATGTCAAATCCGTGTCAAATCCCAGGATAAACCACAAGTCAAACCACAAAACTTGTCAAATCACACCTCAATTCACAAGCCAAACGCCAAGTCAAATCAAATCCCAAGTCAAATCCCAAGTCAAATCCCAAGTCAAATCACAAGTAATAGGGAATGAGTGATGAATCTTGAGTGCCTTTGTCACAGTTCATTTGAATAGCTTGCTACAAGACTTGAGACTGGATGACTTGTAAAATGATGAATTGTTACTAATCTTTAAAGGGACACTAGGTCCTGGAACAGCCCAATTGGGCTACAAAACGTGCTTTGAACAAGATTATGTTAATCAGAAATAAAATTTAAAAGTAGGATATCAACAACCACACAACTATCCTATCAAAAACTGGGCGTTTTTGTGTTATTCCTGTATTATGCGTACGAGAACAAATTTCGGGGTCCACTTTTGCAACCCCATAAATTCGAGCTGTTTGGATGTTAGTTGTGATTTCATTTGTAAAGTGTTCACATTTTGTGGACGTTGAAGAAACCACTTTTTTTTGCATTGGTGATTGGTCACCGCTGTTCCCGAGACACACAACCTGTTTTATCGTACACTGAAAACGACACGAAAAACGTATTCGTACTCTGTCGTGTCCGATGTAAACAAGCGGGTTTTTTTCGGTAAGACATTAGGTTGGCTTCCTTTCAACCAGATGTTTGAAATAGGCTAAGTAAACAATCCAAAACATAAAATTTTCGGGTATTTCAGGACCTAGTGCCACTTTAAGATGCATTCTTATGAATCAGGACTTTATCCAAACTTTGTTGATAAGATAAGTGCGAGTGGTTGTAAAAATACCTGGCCCTCCGCCATCTCCCTCTCCTCCTGCAACTTAGCAAGAACCGGATCCCCTGAAATTAACCACAAACGGAGAAAATCTCTTCAAAACAATCCATTCTCATTAGAACAATGATTAAAGATAATTCATAAACACCTAAGACAGTTTACGCATTCTATTGGTCGAGAGCCTGTCACGTGGCCGGTCTTAAACGGATGATAAAGACATGGCTAGCTGGTCTTAAACACTTTTCCAGTGTCACATGAAATTTGGACTCCCATAAAATCCGGAGCCTTTTAACGTTTCATTGGTTGAACGTTCGAATTCCCCACGTATGCATGCGCAATGTACTACCAGTGAATCAGTATTTCATGTTCTGCAATTCACACTACACCAACCCAGCTGCGTTTTGCGCGACATTGCGCGTACACGCCAATGTCCTTATAATGTAACAAGTTGTGGAGGGGCATTTCATATTATAGTCAGAGGGGTGTTTCGTAAAACATGAAATAAAATTGCTGAACAAAATGGTTGGAAACGTCTAGTTTTTGACTTGTTTTGATTTCTGGACCGAAAAGTTTTTTTGGGGACCAAAAAGGTACTTATGAATGGGAATAAATATGTGTTCGGTCGGTATTAAACACTCTGTTTAAGACCGTTGGGAGTCTGGATGGGTGATAATTACCCTCAGCGTCGCCTCGGGTAATTATCACCCATCCAGACTCCCACCGGTCTTAAACCTGCGCAGCGTTTACAAGATATTTTTATCCGAAGTCGCCAACTGCGTACCTTTGGGACGCAGGTACTTCCCCCACTACGCAAGACCCTATCCACGTCAAAACAACAAAAAGCCACGTGCCAGACAGTGTCCAGGCATTTGCCAGACAGGGCACTTAAAAGATAATTGACTGGTGGCTGCGGTTTGCGGTTATGAAGGGAGATGGCTGTGTCAAGTTACAAGTGTTTGTATATGTTCAATGAGACTTGGCGGGAGGCCTGGTCCCAAGGTTGTTGACACGGCTCGGGTGAAACCCTGGCTGCAAAGTTCATTGAACCAGCTGATTTGGCATGGGTTGAATGAGGATCAGATGGAAGGTGAACGTCATTGGCCCTCACGTTTTAATATTTTAAAAAATTCGGTCACCTGCGTACCCGGGGTACGCAGGTCACTCCGCGCAGGGTTAAACAGAGTGTTATAATACCTCCTGAACACACATTTATTCCCTTAATATAGGCTAAAGCATCAAAGGAAAAAGACAGATTGAAATAGAAGCACCTCCTCCCGGATTTTGAAGGATCTGAGAGGGTAAGGGTTAGGGTTGTTCACCTACCGTCAACATCAACATCCCTGTTGGTCTGCTGGCTGGCTTGCGCTGCCTGCTGCTGAGCCTGCTGCAGCGCGACTTGTAAGTCACTGGCTTGATCTTCTAATCTTGTCTTCTCCTCCTCGAGTCTTTCCACTGAAGTCTTGTAGCTGCCTAGTAGTATCAGTTCTCCCTTTAGGCTGGTAATCTGAAGTTAAAAGGAGGAAAAAAGAGACAACTTTGTGAAGATTGATGGAGTTTTTGATGAAATGAATTCAGTAAGCTCGGGCTGTTCTTTTGCTAGATCAGTTTGATTTGATTAGAATTGATATGATTTCAAACAATATTATTTAACAATGACAATTTTAGCAGAATATGTAATAATAAGATGATGAAAGGGAAGCTGGCAGAAAGCCCAATCTTTGACTTGGCTAAGGTCTTTTAATTAAAATTTAATTCAATTTACTATAACCATCAAAACAACTTAGATTTACACATGAAATTATTAACCGAAGCAGTTTAAACACATACATAATATGCTTCAGTCTGTTTTCAACAATAATATTAAATCCAGTTGCAATTGCTCAAGAGATGAGGGTTTAAAATGGACCACGGAATAAAAGGCTTGCTCACCTCTTGATTCTGGTTTGCAATCTCCCGTTCTTTTTCGGTCACTAATGAGTTGGTGACGTCCAGTGTGTTCTGTATCGAGTCCCTCTCAGCCTCATATCCCATGGTCTCCGTCTCGTACCTAGCATCCGCAAAGACAAACATTCTCAATTTGCTAGTAGCCTGCGGGTCTAAGTTACATAACAAAATTGACCACTAGTCAACCAATGGTCTCCAATTGCACTCGCCCAGGTATTTAATACTGAGGGAAGATGTTGGAACTGCAAGTAAACAGAAGAACTATTACGACTCGGTTTCCATTTGTGGCATATTTGAAAATTTGTCATAAAAAAGCCATATCCTCTTTGAGTAATCCCCGTTTGCTATTTCCCAGGTTTGCAGCATTGCTAATGATGCTAGCATCGTGACTTTGGGCCTGATCCCTGGCTACATGGCGTATACGGCTTTATGGCTTCTAACTAGCCAGGCATGCAACTGGGGATTTGGAAAAAAATGAGGAAATTCCAAACCACGCAAGATTTTGTACAGTGTTTTTCAATTTGTAATGGCATTAACCCCATGCGTACGGGAAGCGGTCATGGCCGCGGCCGCTAATCCTCATTGGAATGCAGTTGCCAGCTGTGGTATGCCGTGGCACACAGCTAGTGGGTAGTTCCACAGCTGCTGCTTTTGTGCAGTCCCGCTACCACACAAAGGCTGTGCAGTCATGCGGGCCAAGGGCGGATCCAGGGGGGGGCCAAAGGGGGCCATGGCCCCCCCCCAAAACGAAACCAATTTTTTTTTTTTTTTTTTATGTGACATCGCAATAAAGGCAGGCAATGAGTACACCACCATCTTTTCCTCAAAAAACATTGGTTAAAGTGGTCAGAAATTGCCTCAGATCGCACCACAGAGCATCTAGAATCCAAAAAATTTTCGGGGCCCTTACGGGCCCCGAACCCCACGCCGTAATTTTTTTGACCCACTTTTTTGGGGGACCAAAATTTTTTTTGGCCCCCCCCAAAATTGTGTTCTGGATCCGCCCTTGATGCGGGCCACTTGCTCTATGTGTGGAGGAATGTCCCCATTACACCCCGTCCTTAAGGGGTTAATGAGAAGTGGAAAACGAGGAAATCAGTGAAACGAGGAATCATTTTACGCCAGACTAGCACCAACTGAAACGAGACATTGACAAGAATGGGGAACCGCCAACACAGGGTTGGATAGCTCAGTTGGTCGAGCACCGGAACGGCAATCCGGAGGTTGCAGGTTCAAATCCCACTCTACTCATTTTCTTTGTTCAACTTTAAAAAAGAAGAAGAAATTTTGAGTGAATACTCACTTCTCTTTCAGCTCCTGGAATTCTTTCAAAATCTTTGTGTGCTCTGCATCCAACTGTTGAAGAAGTTGAATAAAACATATTACAGTCAATGTCACAAAGTCTTATAACAACAAACGGGTGTTGTGCTTTGTTGGTTGCTGGCAAACAAAACAGCTTAACTTTGCATGTTTTTCTGCAACTTTCCTGCAGCCAATTTCACAAAGTGTGTGACTTACAACATGCATATGACTTACGCAACAAATCTGTTGCACAGCTGCGCAATAAACTTATAATCGATTTCATGAAACTTGGCGTAGCTGCACAACGTTATCTAAACATTTTGGACAAGGGTAATAACAGCACTTACAACAGCTGTTTGTGTATGATTTTGTTCTTTGTCCAAATTTCTTCGGAATTGCGCGGCAATTCTAAAAAACTCTGTCATGAGTTGAATAACAATTCATTTACATCAAACACAAAGCTGTGAGTGTCTTGTATCAACCTAGATATGTTGTGGAATAACAGGCTCCACGACGATCACGATTTGCTGGTTAAATAGGTCATTTTCAGTCAAAAGGCCACAACTTATGCCCCCTAATATGATTGCGCAAGTTACGCAATAATTTGTTGCGGACTTACGCACTATGAAACTTTCGTGAAATTGTCAGAACTGAAATGTTGCTCAACGTGAGCACACAATTGTGGTGCAAGTGGACGTATGCAATTGCTTAAAGCTATAGTCCATCATTTGCAGCCATCCGAAAAAGTAACTGGCGTATTATTGTTGAAAAACATACTTGGTTGAAAGATAGTAAGGCGACTAAACTCCCTGTGAAATTAATCTTTCTGGTAAGCTGTCATTTTGAAGTAATCAACGAAAGAAGGCCTTTCCAACGGTGCGTCTTAAGACGCACCGTAGGAAAATTTAAATTAGTAGTTCGTTTTGTTATTCGGCGCAGCGCGCGCAAGCATTGGCACGACACACGCGGTTGCTATAATTCGTCAGATCAGTGCGCGACACCGCGTATAGCTGCAATTCAAAACAATTCAAAACATGATTCAGCAACTTTTGATTTGAAAATGAGATCCTAGAATGCTGTTTTTCCCGGAATATACAGCTGAAGCTGAAGGTTAGTTGTTCAGTATCCTTCATTAGATTTTGAACACTTTTGTTGTTTCAAACGAACAAAATGCACAAATTACAAATGATGGACTATATCTTTAAAGTTCATGAAATTGGCCGCAGGATTTATATCAAGAGAAATTCCAAAATGGCGACAATTGTTGTGATTTCATTAACTAGCTGTGCGTGTACCTGTTGTTTAGATTGCCTTGCTTCCTGCAGAGATTCCAGTTCTTTCTTTAGTCTGGCGGCCTCGGCTTGCAACTGGTCGGCTTGGTGTTGTCTGGCATCGGACTCGCATCTGGCTTCAGCTCTAAAAAGGCAACAGTTTCATAGACGTAAATGTGACCGGCTCCACAAAAAAGGGTATTATGTCGCAAAAAATTGAAATCTAGGATAATGGTTGGAAAGCCCACAACGTAAGCTTTCATTTGGTATACAATAGAGCTCTATAGTCCCTCCCGTTCTGGAGATATGACGTATTTGCATATTAATTACTTCCTTGGAGTTCAAATTACACAACTGAGAAAACAGGCTTTGAAATAGATGACTTTGTTGTAAAACAACAGAGCGATGCACACAAAATCGTTGTTTTTCCCACTTTTTTCCACCAAAAATAACATTTCTGTGAATGAAACCTGAAACTGTAGGTATCAGAGATGTCATTCCTAACAAAAAATGAAAATCACAGTTTGACAAAATGTTCACCCGCTCAATGTTGAGCAGGCCATTTCACAATAATGCTCAGAGCGACTTAATACCCTTTTTTGTGGAGCTGGTCACAAATATTCATGAACACTAAGGCGACTTAGTCTCCGTGCCTTCAGATTGGTTACGCTATTTGAACCAGAATGTAAAATTGATTACCTAAAGCAGATGGAATTCAAAGCCATGCACTACAAAGTGATATTGACTGTACCACCCCAAACTGTCCAAACCGCTTTGCACTGTTTGGTTGTATTTGGGATCATCGTGGAATAGATATCTCTCAAATGACGTCACTGCAAACAGATTGTCACCTGCATCAGCAATTTGGGAGTCAATTTTTTGTGACAAGCATCGACTGTGCCGTATTTCGAAGAAATTTCAAGCAACATGCACGCGTTTAGAACATTTTGCACACTGCGTGCCCACGTATCCGATTGCGTTGAATGCGCACTTGTAATTTCCCTACAAAGATGGCTGTCTATGAGAGTGGTCTATACATAAAATGTAATACAATGTAATACAAGTATTCATGAGTTTCAACTCACAGTTGAGCCTGCAGCGAGCCCATATTGCTCTGCCCTTCCTCTGTGGCCTGCGTCAGCGACTCCAGCTGCTGTTTGTACGTGTCCACTTGTCTCCTCAGCCCTTCCACCTCGCCTTGTATCTCCGCTTGCCGCTGCTCTAAATCCCGAGCCTGGCTCTCCGCTGCGGTCTTAGCCAGCAAGACTTCTTCCTTCTCTTGGACAAGAGTCGAGTTTCTCTTCTCTGCGTTTGCCTTCTCCTTGAGTACAGTGTCTCTCTCCAAGACCACGGATTCCTTTTGTTTGCTGGTGGCTTCCTGTTCTTGCCTGAGGGCTTCTTGATTCTGTTGAAGGGCTTTCTGAGTCTGTTGAAGAGCTTCCTGAGTCCGTTGAAGGGCTTCCCGAGTCTGTTGAAGGGCTTCTCTGTCCTTCAGGAGAGCCTCTCTGTCCTGGACTGCAGATTGTTTCTCCTGAGCGAGGACGTCTTTCTCTCTAGTACGTGTCTCTAGTGTTGCCCTTAGCTTCTCTAGCTCTGTGCTCGTCTGTTACAATATCACAATAATTTGAGAAAATCTGGATTCGAACCATCAACTTCAGGAATACAAAACAGTTGCTCTTTCACTTTATCTATGGCCTATATCAGTGAACTCCCTATCTGTCGCTGTTTTGTTAACCTTTCTTTTTTAAACTTTTATAAACCCTCGGGAAAAAAGTATACGGATGAGGTGAACAAAGAAAAATAATAACAAAAATGCTATCTCAAAGGTTTTCGCCTTAAATCGGTAGGTACTTTTTCGAGTCATTGCAAATGATCCTTCGTGGTTTTTATGGCGAATGATCCTTCGTGGTTTAAGTGGCGAACAAAAACTGAGGATTTTCAGATCAACACTTAACCCTTTCTTTACCATGGGTGACTTTTGTCCACAAGAAGAACCCCCCCTGCTGGTTCCCATGGGCGACTTTAGTCGACCAGGAAACCACACACAGAACACCCTCAACACAGAAATATTACCTACTTTTCAGAAAGGCGGCATGTTGATGTGTTTGGCCGTCCATACAACAACCATATACCAGCTGAATGAGTGTTTTCGGATCGTTCTAGCGGTGTAGTTTATTCATAGTGTTGCCATTACAAAAAAAATGAGAAAAGTGCTTCAGAAGTATCCACCCACAAATTGAGGTATGGAGTGCCATTTGGTCATGTGGTGAAATGGCTTGCAGTTTGATAAATGGAACCAGATGAACAAACAGGCATAACTTTCTTATATTTACACATATGGACTTCATTTTTACATCACATACAAGAGTAAGGTTCAAGGAACAAACTTTACACACAACACCTATGATTTAAATCACTCCTTGGCAGTGAAAATCTGGGTTGAAAAAAGTGAGTTTTGGACTTGTGGTCATCTTGTTCACGCTCTAGTGATTTCCGCATGACTGAGCAAACAATTTGGTCCTGGGGAGAGCCTGGTCAATAAACAATGTGGTATTGAAAGGGTTAAAAAGAAAACAAAGCGTATGGCAGACCTGTTGGTTTGCGTCAGCCGTGTTCGTTTGTGCATCCTCAAGCTGCTTCTGTAATTGTGATTTCTCTGACTCTAGTTGGGACTTCTGCGACGTGATTTCCTCCAGACTCTGGTTCGCTGCCTCTCTAAGGAAGGAAGGTATCAATATCAGCATGACCATTTGTCATATAAACTTCGTGTCAATTCACTGTTGCCACACAGAAAAGCTGTTGCAGTGGTTGCAGTCATCGCTCCCATTTTAAATGTTGAACTTTTCGCATGCTTAAAGGGAATATACAACATTTGCTTTTGCTGCAATTTTAAAAAAATAAATGGATTTGGAGGATTAGTATGTTATAAAATATTGTTAAACTGACTTGTTTCATGTTTTGGGCTTGCAGATGCTGGAAAAACCAAGAAAACCTATCATGTTCTTGTAGTCTGATTCCCTGACCCCACTTAAGAAGAAACAAAGCAATTAATACACTTTGGGGAATTGTAAGGTCAGAGGATCAGTCTAGCAGGCTTGTACCCCTTCACAGGTGTGTGATCAATTGCAAAGAAAGTCAGAATAACTAAATATGAAAAATTAAGAACAGTTTTTGAAAAAAAGCCAGTTTTCTCCAATGCTGGTCGGCCGACCAGCGTTGGAAAAATACAGTTTTTCTTGAAAATGTCAGCCTATCAGGAGCCACGATTTTAAAGGATGCTTTAGACTGTCAGTCCCTAACAATTCAGTAAGGTATTTCGTGGTAATTTGATCATTTCGTTTTTTGATGTTTGCAAATGTTGTATTTTCCCTTTAATTCAAACTTCGAAACAGTTTGGAGCTGCAAGACTCTGGAACTCCTGTTTGAAACGGGCGCGATACTTTGAGTAATATCCCAGGAGTACTTGTGGATCCCAGGATACTGTAGTCCCATATGCAATGAGGCCAATGGTTTAGCGGTATGCATGTATGGGACAGACGCGCTACATTTCCTGTGCTCCAAGGACGCTAGTGGGATAACGAATTTATCTTCAAGCAAACTTGACACACAGTAAAGATGGAACACACAGTCGTGAATTTCTATACGCCCGAGGACAATGCTTTGTGTTTCCCTTTGTCCCTATAATATAACACTTTCCCACACACTAAGCACATAACCGTACGATCGAGGACCGTTTTTAACAAAAGACCCAACGCTCGTGGACTGAAAGGATCTTTTGTTCTCCGTTTGTGTGTCTGTCTTTTATAGTAAAGCCATACAAGTATGTACTCACGCATTGCACGCAAACTTTTCAATGGTTACCCTATTACACATGCGTGCAGTAGGAAAAGTGCGCGAATCTTAGAATAGCATGATCCGCAGAATGTGATATGGACCATGGTATTAGGTATATCACACAGTTGTTGCCATGGATCGACCAATCAGGTTCGATGTTTCAAGTCTGCTTGAAGATGTGATACTCACAGCTGTATTCTAAGTTGCCTGTTGTTCTCCTCGGCCGTCTTAGACTCCTCCTCCAGCCGCTGCAGCTGCTCCTGATGTTCAGCCCCTTCCCTCTTCGCTGCCTCGGCTACCTCGGTAGTCTTGCTCTCCAGCTTCATGGTCAGTTCTTGGCACTGGGCCAGAGCCTCCGTCCGTTCTCTCAGGGCGGTGTCGCGCTCTTGGGTGAGCCGGTCTAGGGTGGATTTGGAGTCCTCTAGGGCTTGCTGGAGCTAATTTGGGAAGAGGAACGCAGGGAGGGAAGGCAAAAGAAGACAAAAAAATGAACTGTAATACGGAGGCATCTTATGTGAAAAATGCAGCTTCAAGAACCAGCACCCGATTTCATGAAACTCATCGTAACTTACGATGCATCGCAGCGCTGCGACGCGTCTTATCCCTACGATGCTTCACAGCTGTGACATGTCCTGCGATTTATTTCACAAAACACGTCACAAGTGGACATGTCGTAGGTGTATTTATGGCACAACTCGTTGACTGTTTTATGTATTTAGTAGGCGTGCAGTCAATAGTCGTCTGATATTCAACAAAGAGTCGTTGGATTTCCTCTCGAAATTTTTTAAAACGTAAATCAAAATGGCGGACGTGTGATGCAATTTGACAGGAAAACAAGCTCTCAGTGGACTGTATAGCTATTTTGAAATTTCAACTGCAATCTGCCAGGTTAATTCATAATTATTCAGTGCATTTTCTATTTACAGCTTTACACACATTGTCTCAGTATTTTAGTCCCGTTTATGTATTTTGATGGCATAAAACTTGCTAAGAAAAGGATGCTTCTTATTTTGCAATGACCACTAGACACGTCGCAACTTGCGACGTGTTTCAAGCCGTTGTCAAGGAACTTACGACGCGTTCAACACATTGCAGGCTTCATGAAATGGATCATACGACGCGTCGCGAGTTGCGACGTGTTACACGTCGTAACTTGGGTTGTCCACGGATCACAAAAATGGTGTGCATTCTTTCAGCAAAACGAAAACAATTCACACACACCCTTATGTGATTTGTTATCGTTTTGCTGAAAGAACACTGAACTTTTTGTGATCCGTGGACAGAACCTTAAAACGGCGGTTGTGTTTAAAACTCCGTAACTTGAAAAGTACATGAGTGATTTGAATGATTCTTGTACTAAAAGAAAGCTTAAAAATCGAACTTCATATCCTAGATTTTGAAAGTGCTACATGCAGAACTTCACTAAAACAATGGTCCTGACATTTGGGTTTTTGCGGGTTTTTTTTTAAGCACAATCAATGTGTTTTTCCACTCACTTACAAATGTGTTAACCTTGCGCAGAGTGACCTGCTGCCCTTTGGGCCCCAGGTAACCGAAAGTTTTGAATAAAAAAAAATTTAGGGCCAATAACGTGCAACTCCTATCTAATCCTCATTCAACCCTTGCCAAATCAGCTGGTTCAATGAACTTTGCAGCCAGGGCTACACCCAGGCCGTGTCAACAAACTTTCGACCAGGCCTCCTGCCAAGTCTCATTGAAACATCAACAAAGACCTGTAACTTGACACAGCCATCTCCCTTCATAACTGCATACCACAGCCGCCAGTCAATTATCTTTCCAGCGCACCGTCTGGCAACTGTCTGGCACGTGGTTTTTTGTTGTATTGCTATGAATAGGGTCTTGCGTAGTGCGGGAAAGTACCTGCTGCCCAAAGGGCAGCAGTTGACGAGTTGTTGCACAGTTTTTTTGTAAACGCTGCGCAGGGTTGAGACAATACATCTTTAAATAAACTTAAGATTCCAGACCAGACTAAAACTGTTATATGTTGAAGTGCATGGACAGTACATCTTTACGCACAACGTTCCGAGCTTCTGATTTTCTTTCTCACCTCTGCCGTGGTCTGCCCCTCTTTCTCCAGTTGATCCTGCAGCAGTTTGTGTTTCCCCGAGGACTCGTCGTGGCGTAGACTCAGCTCAGCCTTGGCTAGCTGCAGCTGCTGCTTCTCAGCTAGACTCTGCTCCAGCTCCTCCTTCAGCTGGTCTCTCTCCTTGCTGGTCTGCTCAAGGCTGGACTCAACCTGGGTTTTATCCGTCTGCCGAGGGAGAAGGAATTGGATAAACAGTGGTCATCAATTAAGAAGGATATTTTAAAAGATATTAGCTCAGCAGCACATTTTATATGCTTGCAAAGGGCAATTTCTAAAGATTATGTAATACTTTATTTTGAATGAAACATGCACACAGACATGTACACGTTTGCGGGCGAAATCCTTGAAAATTAATTTCTCCCATTTAGAAGACCGTATCTTCATGCAACTTTCAGGGCTTGTTTCCCTAATAATGATCCAACTATGTGCTAAAACCGTTTTGATATAATCAGTACTTTTTGTTGAAAACCATGAACGTGAGTTTGGTCGGCAACAAAGTCCTAGTGCAAATTTTCCTTTGAGATAGTTCATGGTGTAAACACAAGTGTTTCCAACATCAGATTGAGCTGAAATTCAGAATTTACTTAGATGATAGTGTTCAACTACTCATGAAATACAGGGTGAGTCAAAAAAAGCAGAACCCAAACCCCCAAAAATGTATTTCATATTTAAAAAAATATGTAGCACCAAAAATAATAATGAATGGAAAGCCAATTTCAAAAGCTACTTTTAGATGAAAAAATTACTGAAATTGCTCAATCCGTTCAAAGAATACCACCATTTAAACGCAATGACCCTAAAACCTGTCTCGTCAAAAAAATCAATTTATTGTGTGTGTTAGCACACAATATTTTGATATTCATATTGAAACTTGGCGTAGTTGCACAATGTTTTAAATAATCTAAACAGCCTTTACAACGGCTGTTTGTGTATGATTTGCTTTGTTTGTGAAAAAGTCGTTGAATCACCCCCGCCTGCCATTTTGAAAAAAAATTTGTCCAACTTTCTTCGGAATCGTGTGGCAACTCTAAAAACTCTATCAAAAATAAACGAGCAATTCTTTTACTGCAAACACAAAGCTGTGTCTGTCTTGTATCAACCTTGATAAGTGCAATAACAAGCTCCACGACGATCATGATTTGCTTGTAAAATAGGTCAGTTTCAGTCGCCACGCCACAACTACCAGTACGCCACCTAAAATGATTGCGCAAGTTATGCCATTATTTGTTGCGCAGATCGTGGACTTGGCACTATGAAACTTTCGTGAAATTGGCATAACTTAAAGGTTGCACAACTTGCGCAACAGAGTGTGGCGCAAGTGGATTAAGTCTTGTGAAATTGGCTGCAGGGTTACCAGCACTTTATGAAAAGGATATTCCCTGAGTTTTCCTTTATAATTAGTTCCCTGAGAAATTTCCAAAAAATTCCATGAGAAATGGAATGAGGTTGCTGGGAAGTCAAGAGATGGTTGCAGCAAAGCAACTAAGATACTGCTAATACACTGGCAACTTGTTGACAAGCGATGGCCTCCCTTCTCCCCTTATAATTATATTACCAGTCAGTCAATGGACACATTTTGGACACAAGGTACAAATACGCCAGTCTGACGAACACCCTTCCCTTCTCTGTCATTGCCAAATTCCCTGATTTTTTTCCTGATTTTGGTGTTTTTCCCCCAAATTCCCTACGTTTTTTTCTGACTGGAAAACGGAAACTCATTTTCAAGGTTTTCCCAGATTTCCCGAGCATCTAGGACCCCTGTAACTCTAACCTCCCAGGCCCTTTTTTATAAGGTATATCCTGTTATCATGCAAAATCCTCCAACTCTCCTGGAGACAAATATAATCCTTGAGGCAAATATAGAAATTGTAATGTCTATGAACATTAAGGAAAGAAGGCAGGACCCGTTGCATCATGGAGGCATGTAAAGGGAAGAACATTTTGGCAAACTGGGAGAAAAATAGATGAAAACCCAACTTACTGTTAACTTCTCCACTTTGTGTTCCGCCTCCCTCAGTGAGTTCCTCAGTTTGTCAGCCTCCTCCCCTAACCTCTCAAACTCCGCTTTCTGTTTCTCAGCCGCTCCTCTGACCTCGGCCAGTTTGCTCTCGTGGCTCGCCGACAGCGACTGGACCTCCGCGGCGTGGGCCTCCTGCGACTGGCTAAGCTTGGCTTGGGCCGCCTCTACGCTCGCTTGCTGAGGTTTTTGTTTGTGACAGGGCAAAAAAACTGATGAGGAGGGGGACAGAGTGACAGAAAGGGCCGAGCAACTAAAACACGGAAAAAGTCGGAGATCTGATGGAGCAGGCGTAGTTGACGAGACAAGGGGGAGGGGGAGGGGGGAGTTAGTAGGGGTGGCAGAGGGGTCGATAGAAGGGGTAACGGAGAACATAAAGGGAGGGGAGGGTTTATGATGGGGACTGAAAGATGACAACAAAAATGGAATGTCTTCTTTTTTTTTAGCTCGGAAACAAATTGACATGTGAAAAACATTTGAAAAGGGATTTGCTTTTTTTTTCAAATTTCCAGCTTAGAAGATTAGAAATGTGAGCTAGAACAATCTTAAGATAAATTATCTGTGTTTTTTAAAACTACTTCTTACAAGTTGGCAAAGGAATTTGCTTTTATTCAAATTTCCAGCTTGGAAGATAGAAATGTGAGCTGGAATGTTCAAAGCTTATTTTAAAGGCTACTTTTAAATTTTTTTTTACAGTTTTGGAAGTAAAATTTGGTCGAATTAGAATTTGCTACGATGCTAAAATGGATGAAACCATTGTGCACGTGACGGGAAAAAAATGGCGCCTTTAAAACTGATGAAAATAGAAATGACCCTAGTTTATCCGACACAAAAATGTTATACGTATCGTACATATTTACAAATTTGGCAAAATTAAATGGCATCCTCAAGATGTAATTTCAATATTTTTTATTTTCGATAAACATTCAACATATTTCGGCAGAAAAATTAAAAGACGAATAATCTTTAAACTTATCAGGCAATGTTGTACACTGCATTATCTTTCAATTAGTTCGAAACAGCCATGCAGTGAGTTTAGAGAAACACCCGACAGCATGTTAGTTTAAAATCATGGAAATAAATCTGAACTGCTTTTGATTCTCATTAACGTGAAAGATTACTTCAACTTTGGTCCGCAAACTTCAAAAAGCAATACAAAACGGCTAAGTTAATATTGGTTAATACCTGAAACCAACGGCATACTTAAGTTAAAATGCGTAAGGAATCACTTTGAATTGCTTAAAAAGTAAACTTTTGCGTTTTAAGACTTGTACCCTCAATAATTTCTTTTTATACTCAAAAAGAGAATTCTTCAATACAAATTTTGCTGGATTTTGTTTTGCTTAGTTTATTGCACTTTTTTTTCGTGGAATTCGGGCAGGGGTGGAGAAACAAAACACACACACACACACGCAACATTGAATAAAAACAGGCAAAATAAACAAAGGCAATGGCACGCCCGATCGATTTTAATCGTCGGGCGTGAAAAATAAAAGCGGCAGTGGCAGCGTTGCTATGTAACACAACTTACGAATTAACTAAAGAAAAAAATAAACTAAGGCAAAACTAAAATCAAAACAATGAGATCTAGGCATGAGGGGGGTGGGGCGGGTTACTGCATCACCTAGGAGAAGAAAGGAAGGGGGTCAAACTGTCAGAAAAAGGGGTGCAAACTTTTTTTTTTGGCAAAAAATGTGGAGCTAGTTTTCGATAAATAGATATGATAGCATTGACTTGCCAACCGATTAGAATGATTTGAAACATGATGGAGATCTTTCAATAGCAAAAGACGAGATGTATGTAAGCAAAAGGGATTAAAGAAAAATATTTTGAAAAGGAGGCGTTCTGGTAAAATGAGACAGAACTGTGCAGATGTCAAAATGAGGGTTTGCAGGTATTAGGAAAGAGAATCAAATTCTCCTTACAATACTGTTTGTTGTGCTTCAATCGGACATTCTGTTGATAAGTTATAGCTGTGTAAAGTTTGCATTTATCAACATGTCAAGACAGTATATGTAATACTGGGGAAAAAGCCTTTAAAGTTTTGAGTTTTGTAATTGTGAAAATGAAAGATGCCAGTTGTTTTTCCAAAAAAAACACACCTTTGTTCCACAATTTTTATACTTTTTCTTGAAAACATGTGCAATAGACATATCAAAGAATACAAATATCAATCACTCTGAAAATCAAACAAAAATCACCCTCGTTAAACTTTTCGCATTTTTCTCCACTATGGCCTGTACCCAGTTCCTTCTTATTCAGACAGAACGCCTAACAAAATATGCAAAATCTTTAATATATCAGCACGTGATTATTAAACTTCAGAGTCACGGAACACTGCAATTTTTGCCTTAGCATTGTGACAAGTTCCTTTCCAAAAAAAGGCCACATTTTTTAACAAAAAAGCCCTGTTGTTGGACAGGCGTACTTGTACCTCAGCATGAGCTTCAAGTTGAAAAAACATGTCCTTGTATATATATTTTGAGCTTGCTGAAAAATCCTGCAACTTACTATCTCTTAGATAAGATTTTGCTAAAAACAGAAAAATCATTTTCTCAATACAACCATCGAGAAAAAAGTGGAAACTTTATCGCACTCTTCATACAATCAGACAAGAATGCTGTCAAAAATCATCTGACTAGCACCCCTTGAACAAGGATAATGACAAATTGGAGAACCACCAACATGGGCTGGATAGCTCAGTTGGTAGAGCACCGGAACGGCAATCCGGAGGTCGCCGGTTCAACCCCGCTCCAGTCAATTTCTTTGTTCAACTTTGAAAAAATAAATAAAAAATTGGTGTACGTGCTTGAAACTAACAAACCCACAAAACTGAAACTGACCCCCTCCTTTTTTTTCCTTAAAATTCAACAATTTGGAACAAAAAAACTGGCACAAAATTGAAGCGTGTCAGGAAAAGGTTGGCAAGCCAATAGCGCAGTATTGAGCATTCGGATAATATAATAAGTGTTTTCTAGCAATGCACACTACAGTACAGTGAAAGTGTCTTGTGAAAATTTATGCAAAACAGAAACGACCAAAAAAAAAAATAATAATACACAATGCTTCACAGGATATGCAGAGTGCATGCACATTCTCATGCTGAACCTTTTGACTTTTTGTGGGCAAAGAATTATTTTTAGAATATATCTCTGAATACAGTTGGCATTTGGCCAAGCCACAATTCAACTGGATTTTTTTCCTGGCACCAAAGATACTTGCAATAGTCAAAACAAATCTTTCATTTCAGTATTTCATTTATTTTCAAGAAAAAGCTTTTGTTATTAAACTGTTTCCCTTCTTTGTGACTCCCTTTGCTTTATTTTTTATAGCATTTTGTTTAAAGTAAGGAACTTACAGCCTGAAATACCTAATCGAAAGACATAACTGACAAGCACAGTAGAACGCCATGGTCCAGCGATTACGGTGTTTGACTCATGTACAATGGTGCGTGGGTTTGAACTGTACCAGGAACATGGTGTTTGTACCCTTGGGTAAGACACTTAACTACAATTGCCTCTCTCCACCCAGGAGTATAAATGGGTACCCTTAAGGGTCGAGGACTGATTGAGCGCTGATATCGGTTGCCGCGTGGTCCCATGACCTGATGAACGGGGTAATAATTGTAAAGCGCTTTGAGATTGTTGATATGATGAAAAGCGCTATATAAGCACAATTATTATTTTGATTATTATTATTTATTATACTTTTATTATTTTGATTATTATTATTTATTATACTTTTATTATTTTGATTATTATTATTTATTGTACTTTTATATCAAGGGCAAAAAGTCTCAACTTCTTCATTATCATGGTAGTCTCTGCCCAAGACTTTTTTTTTTTAATCAGGTGGTATGTGACGAGCACAGTAAAGCTGTCTACAAGATAAATTCAATCCAGTCTTAAGAACATTGGCAGAGCTATCCAGGAAAATTCCACGCATACCTGAAGCACATGCAATAGCATGAATACGGTGGCATAAGATAATGCTCTGCATTCCCGGCTAGCACTGCCAAAATTCCCAAGTCTGGATTTTATTAATCTTGTTAATTGATAGCGACCTCAAAAGCCGCAGTAACTTTATCAGGGGAACAAAAAACAATACCCAGTCTTGGGCGAAGACTAGTATGACAGCCAAGTCCTGCTGAAAAGCAGGAAACAATCTGGATCGTGACTTAATCCGGGAAAAATCTCTACTGCGATTAGAATGAGGAAATCGAGTCAATGAATAAGCCCTTGAGTAGCCCCTTTAATCCATTCCCAAAGCCAACATTTCCTCTTCGGATTTGATTGCAGGGGAACGACGCGTTGATGCTGACGAAAGAGGATGTGGTTCAGATTAAAGAGGACATCTAATTTGGAAGATTATTATGTTCATGCGTTAAAGGGCCTATGCCATTTGATTTTTCCAATGCTACTGGTATCCTTGAAAATGTATCTCTGAAGGCTCTGGGGTAGTATTAGGGTTAATACAGGGGGAGTCAAAAATAACAAAACCCAAATGTCGGGACCATTGTTTTAGTGAAGTTCTGCATGTAGCACTTTCAAAATTTAGGATACAAAAGCCCAATTCATAAGCTTTCTTTTAGTACAGGAATCATTCCAATCACTCATGTACTTTTCAAGTTACGGAATTTTAAACACAACCACTGTTTTAAAGTTCTGTCCACGGATCACAAGAAGGGAAAGTGTTCTTTCAGCAAAACGACAAAAAATCACATAGGGATGTGTGTGAAATGTTTTTGTTTTGCTGAAAGAACGCAGAACTTTAAAACGGTGGTTGGGTTTAAAAATCCGTATTATTTGGAAAGCACATGAGCGATTTGAATGATTCTTGTACTAAAAGAAAGTTTATGAATTGGGCTTTCATATGCTAGATTTTGAAAGTGCTACGTGCACAACTTCAATTAAACAATAATCCTGACATTTGGGTTTCGCTTTTTTTGACTCACCCTGTATTTAAAAAGCTTGTCTTGTATTTTTTCTAGATAAAAAATCTAGACCAACTACATGTACATGTTGATGTACATGTACAACATCTTCACATATATAAAACATTAAAAGGTAGATCACGTATAAAACATTAAAAGGTAGATAGCTAGTATAGGTTTCGTCTCTTTATCCAGGGTGCATCACAAACATGAAGAGGTGGCAATGACAAAATATAATCATGCTGTAGTGCAAACTAGTGTTGGGGTTTAAATTCAGATTTTTCAAAATTCGGTTTGAATTCCACTATTCGGTTTCTATTTTGGAAACCAGATATTCGAAATCAACCTAACAAAAAAAAAGCCTTCCATTTTTGTGTGACACAGGCTAAAGAAAACAACAGGAACATCCCCCAATTTGCTCCATGGTCTCTGATTGTAACTACACTTGCTAGTGGTCTTCTTGGTATATGAATAGCCTGCCCATTCGACTTATCAGTGAGTTCCTACCCATTTTTGTCAACATTACAGCTCTGGAGTGTTTTTGTCGAGGCCCAGTGGTCACTGAATCCTGCAAACTATACCCGGTCATTGGGAGGGCATTGCATGCGGCACCTCACTCGTCACTTTTTGTTGGCATGACTGTGAGTTGGATGGGAACTTCCAGTGAAATCAGATAACCGTTATTCGGTTTGAAATAAATTAGGATAACCGAATTTTGAAATCTCTGATTTCTCCCAACACTTGTGCAAATTAGTAGGATCTCATGCTAACATGCGCAAATTAGTGGGCAGAGAATGATACAAGATAGAGGTCACCAGCGGAAAGAGGGGCGGGGTTAAGATGAAGGGGTGGGGAGGGGGTGGGGAGGGGTGGGGGAGTGGACTAATCACGAATCATTGGGAAATGGGCTTGGGGTTATGCAGTACAAGTCTATCTTCAAAATTGGGGCCAATACGGGCGATTCCCAATAAAGGATGGGCATAAAGAGATTTCCAAGGAGAATCAATTTTTCAACTTCAAGGTCGACAAAACATGGCAGACTTGCTGTGATTTGAACAAATCTCAGTAGACAACTTGAGGAATTTTTGAAAGATCGGGGCATAACATTCTGCCGCCTGACAAAAAAACATCATAAAAAAAGGAAAGAAAAAATCTAACTATACTTTTACGAAACTACAAACAAACTAACAATTTTACATGTCCCATACCAAACAGCGAATTTGTCGACCGTCTCCCACAAAATGTGAAATTTGCGGAAAAATTGACTCTCCGTGGAAACGTCTTGGTGCCGCACTGCATTGGGAATCGTCCTTATATTTCACAACTAGCAAAAGTTGTGCTCATTTTTGTAGTTGAGTCAATCACAAATCCGTTAAAAGTCTGGACAAAGGTACATCTGATTCGATTCATTTCTACAAAATGCATCATGCTGGAAGACCATACTTAACAGGAGCACAAGATATACATGTCAACAGTCAGCAAAGCGGCTTTAAGGCCTATGCATACCAAGCACAAACGGATAAAATGAAGAGAATTGGATGTAAGGCCCTGTCTGAATCACATGGCTGTGGCTAGTAACAACACGTGAGTCTATGAGAAGTGGCTGCAGCCATTAGCCAGCGGCTTTCACAGCTTGCGCGTGTCATTCCCGGACGTAGCCACGTGATGCAGGCCCGGCTGATCCAAACGCCCAAGTACGCAGTATGCACAAGAAGCATTCATGCCCAAGTTGAACAACAAAGATGCTGAATACGGGTGTAACAATACCAATGGAGCGATTCACTGAGCTTGCTCCACGGCACCTTGACCAATCACGGCCGTGATAAATATGTGCACGTGCGTATGACGCGCGCAGCTGGAACGTGTAATGTTGCATTGGAGAGGCATTAGCGACGTATATACCGTCCCTGGTTTGACCGATCACGGCCGTGATTAATGCGTGCACGTGCGTATGACGCGCGTAGCTGGAACGTGCAATGTGGCATTGGAGAGGCATTAGCGACGTATATACCGTCCCTGGTTTGACTGATCACGGCCGTGATTAATACGTGCATGTGCGTATGACGCGCGCAGCTGGAACGTGCAATGTGGCATTGGAGAGGCATTAGCGACGTATATACCGTCCCTGGTTTGACCGATCACGGCCGTGATTAATGCGTGCACGTGCGTATGACGCGCGCAGCTGGAATGTGTAATGTGGCATTGGAGAGGCATTAGCGACGTATATACCGTCCCTGGTTTGACCGATCACGGCCGTGATAAATGCGTGCACGTGCGTATGACGCGGGCAGTTGGAACGTGCAATGTGGCATTGGAGAGGCATTAGCGACGTATACCGTCCCTGGTTTCACGAAGGGACAGGCATGTCAATTCTGATGTTCCAGCTGCGCGCGTCATACGCACATGCACGTACGTATGACGCGCGCAGCTGGAACGTGTAATGTGGCATTGGAGAGGCATTAGCGACGTATATACCGTCCCTAGTTTGACCGATCACGGCCGTGATTAATGCGTGCACGTGCGTATGATGCGCGTAGCTGGAACGTGCAATGTGGCATTGGAGAGGCATTAGCGACGTATATACCGTCCCTGGTTTGACTGATCACGGCCGTGATTAATACGTGCATGTGCGTATGACGCGCACAGCTGGAACGTGCAATGTGGCATTGGAGAGGCATTAGCGACGTATATACTGTCCCTGGTTTGACCGATCACGGCCGTGATTAATGCGTGCACGTGCGTATGACGCGCGCAGCTGGAACGTGTAATGTGGCATTGGAGAGGCATTAGCGACGTATATACCGTCCCTGGTTTGACCGATCACGGCCGTGATAAATGCGTGCACGTGCGTATGACGCGCAGTTGGAACGTGCCATGTGGCATTGGAGAGGCATTAGCGACGTATACCGTCCCTGGTTTCACGAAGGGACAGGCATGTCAATTCTGATGAAAAACATGTTGCGAGATAATCGCAAGAGAAGTTATCTTATTTCAGAATTGAAAAATGTACCACAATGCGTCTACTCTCTGCAGAAAATAAAAATCCAAAATGATTCTAAGGCCAAAAAAAAAGTCTCCGGTTTCTGGTATGGAGCTTGCCCAAAAAGTGGTGCGGCGACGCGGCTTTTGTTTTTTTTTTACCTCATTTTTTTGCTTCAAATCATTGAAATGTCGGCTGATGACTGCAAATGGTGCCCGACTAAACTTAGTGCAAATAGATGGGAGTCCAGAGAGGCCACATAAAGCTTATTCTCGACCATAACCCAATCTAAAAACACGTTAAAATTGTGCAGCAGCAGGATTCCTGTCAAACCAGTGAGTTTGGCGGTTTTGAGACATCATCTTTCATTGAAAAAAAAACTTTTTCATTTTGCTGACGCGCATGGCTACGGCGGTGACGCGCGCATACCAGAAACCGGAGACTTTTTTTTTTGGCCTAAGAGAGCTTAACTTTCTATTTAACACTCCCCTGAAGACGGTCAGAGCATACTGACTGGAATGTCGAGTTTATACCTCTGGTTCTTTTCAGAACCATTCTCTTAGTTGAGAAATTATTCGCACATGGTGTTTCCGCAAACCTTTCATTATTTATGCGGTTAATTTGCAAAAAATTGTCAGCCAAGATGCCCGTCTCTTTGTGAATATGAAAATTCCGGTTCAGCTACTTTTACAATCTACTGTGCAGTGTGTTTTGCCATAGGAAGAGGGTGCGCGCGTCTGAAATGTATCAAAGATGTTCGTCACTGAGTTTACGGGCTCCGTGCACAAGTACCCCCTCAACGGTACGAAAGGGAGAGTTGGGGAGAACACTGGGAGAGACATTACAACGCATTGCTGACGACGCCTGACCCTCACGAGATGACGTTACGGCTCTGTGAACATTCGCATCTGAACTGGCCGAGTATACTTCGCGTCATGCACGCGTGAACCAGTACGCGTACGCGGTGTGTCCCCCGCTGAAGCTCTTAGTATCGGTCAAAAAGCGCCCTCTATTGCTTACGCATTGGCCCATTCATAACCACATAATACAGGTGTTTGTATCGTACGCTGTTCATGCAATCATTTATCGCAATTATCGCGATGTATTGTTACAACCGTATCGCACAATGTTAACGCAAACCTTACCAGTGAGTGTATTTCCAGCCGGCATTTCTCCACCTCTTGCCGGTGTCGCTCGGCTGCCATCATGGAGTCTCGTTGCGCGCCCTCTGTGCTCTGGCTCACGGTCTCGCGCAGCTTGGCCACTGATTGGTTGGCTTCGGACAACTCGGCCATCAGCTCCTCAACGCGCCTGGAAAACAAAAAACGGGGGAAAAAAAATGTTTTTAGGGGCCAAACCGACAAATTTGTTTCTTACAAGATGCTTGAGCATGTGTGTTATGTTACACTGACTTTATAAATTATTATAAATTGATGAATTATAAACTTGAGTGCCTTTTATCCAGTAAGATTTGCGAGTGGTCTTGACTGAAAGCACTTCATGATGGGAGTAATGCTTACAGCTACGATAATCCCAACGTGTTTTTTTTTTTGTGTAGCTTGTTAACGTGTCAGGAAAGCAGCCTCCGCGCAAGATGGAACCATAGACATATAATAAAACCTAGACACGACATTATCTGCTTTTACGTTGTGAATTCTGTGAGCAAAACGGGCTGCGTCACGCAGCCTGGCGCGATGCGCAAATTATCATGTGGCTTCGATTTACGCGCATACTTCATACGTATACCACGTATGTTCAGGCCAGCGGCGCCAACACACTTTTGCACCACTTAGTTGTTTTTTTTCCCACATGCGTACGGGACCAAACGATTCCAAATAACGCGCGCAGTGAGACCGCTCTCATCATAGGCGTGACGCGTCGCGCAAGATCATTAGGACGCGACGCGTCACGCAAATAATGAGCGTTCGCGTAATTAACATTATTCTATACGCTTTGCATTTTGCTCACAGGCGCAATAGCAAATGTCGCAAAGGTTTTATTTTATGTCTATGGATGGAACAAAGGGTCTCAGTTTGTTAACCACTTCGCGCCGGGATTATTGTTGCTGAAAATTTAGATTTTTTGCAAAAGGCAAAATTTTCCAGCCAACCTCTGATATACAGCCAACGCCAGATGTACTGATTCGCAAGAGTGATTTCAATAGTATTTGTACGATAATTCTTGCTGAAACCTCATATGTTTCAATACTCCGAGGTTTGCACTGGAGTGTAAATTGTAGAAAAGGCCGTGATTCAAGATCAGCACACGGTTCGCCTGCACAGACCTCACAAACTTTGTGATTGTCTCGTACAAATATGTTAAAAATTTCTGAGAAATTAAAGCTATAGTCCATCATTTGCAGCTATCCGAAAAGTAACTGGTATAATTATTGTTGAAAAAAAAACATACTTGGTTGAAAGATAGTAAGGGGACTAAACTCCCCAGTGAAATTATTCTTTCTGGCAAGCTGTCATTTTGAAGTAATCAACAAAAGAAGGCCTTTCCAATGGTGTATCTTAAGACGCACCGTAGGAAAATTCAAATTAGTAGTTCGTTTTGTTATTCGGCAAAGCGCGCGCAAGCATTGGCACGACGCAAACGCGAGCGGTTGCTATAATTTGTCGGATCAGTGCGCGACATTGCGTATAGCTGCAATTGGCTCAGTGAGAACGTGTCTCGGACGCTGAATTCAGGCCCAATTCAAAACATGATTCAGCAACTTTTGATTTGAAATTGAGATCCTAGAATGCTGTTTTTCTCGGAATATACAGCTGAAGCTGAGCTGAAACTTCATCAGGTTAGTTGTTCAGTACCCTTCTTTAGATTTTGAGCACTTTTGTTGCTTCAAACGAACAAAATGCACAAATTACAAATGATGGACTATATCTTTAAATTTATATTAACTGCAAAATGTGTCGCTAATCAGCTCCCTTACCTTTCTTTTGTCCTGAGCTGCTCGTTGAGGTTGACCAGCTGTTCTGAACTGTCGCCCGAGCTCTTCATTATCTGGGCAATGTCTGCCTCCTACGAAAACAGAAAAACCAAAATGTACCGAAAAAGTTACGTAACACTGCTATAACGAACACCAATACACTGAACAATGATCATCTCTGTTTAAAGTTTGGTAGAAACCTTCTCTCATCTCATAAATACCGTGACTGGCTACCACCCAAAAGATCAAACAACCTCCGCAATACCAACACCCTGTCAATCCCTCAATGTCGAACCAACCGATACAAGAATAGTGCAATCCCATTTTTAACCAATCTTCTTAATGAACAACTAAGCTCTACGTCTCACACCCTGGTGTGATATTTATCTTCATTTATTTACTGTTTTTTCGTAATCTGAGCAATCCATTTCTCCATGTTTGTTTTCCCAACTGTTTTTAATCAACTGTTTTTAGTCAAGTTTTTTTTTTAATTTGTTTTATTGTGTACTCACCATTCTTGTTGTTACATGCATTATGTTTTAACTCTCATTATAATTTTTTTCCGGTCTTCTAATTATTGTTATTGTAATACATACAGTTTTTACCTCTGTCTATTTTTAAAAATGTTTTCCAATGTAAACCTGCCCACAATTCAGCCTTCGGGCTGCGACGGGAGAGTAAAATAAACCATTTAATAAATAAATAAATAAATAAACAATTGACTATGGACTCTGTGCGCAAGTACCCCCTTAACAGTTACAAAGATAAAGTTTGGGAAGACATCTGGGAGGGAAAACTCGAATGCACAGCGAGCGATGCTTGTAATCACGGGAAGACGCTCATGGTTTGCAGACATACGGAACAACTTACTTGTGCATACTTTGCGTAACGCGCATGGGGAGAAGTGCCTGTACGAAACAATCTTTCACGGCTCCCAAGTTTTGCGGGGATTGGAGTCAAGTCATCCCCTTACTGCAACAAATTCTGCATGGGTTTAAATTAGGTTTTGCCCTTCACCGACGTTCAAACACTGTATACTCAGTGTGTTACCTCCCGAGTGAAAGTTGGAAAAAATCACTCGGGTGGGACTCTAACCCACGACCTCCTGCTTTCTAGTGCACATGTCTTACCTCTCGACCATCGAGCTAACGGGATCGGATTCAGTTAGCTCGGTAACACACTAAGTATACAGTGTTTGAACGTTGGTGAATGGTAAAACCTAATTTGATTTGATTTATATCACCCCGACGCAAAATTTCATCTTATAATAGTTTATGCGGTACCCGCTGCTATGTACATGTACATCAGATTCGAACCAGCCAACCGATCCCGTTAGCTCAGTGGTGGAGTGATAAGACATCTGCACTAGAAAGCAGGAGGTCGTGGGTTCGAGTCCCACCCGAGTGATTTTTTCCAACTTTCACTCGGGAGGTAACACAACTGAGTATACCGTGTTTGAACGTCGGTGAAGGGCAAAACCTAATTTGATTTGATTTATATCAACCCGACTCAAAAATTCCATCTTATAATACTGAATGGGTTTGTAGGAAAATGACTCACCAGTTTCTGCTTGTCTTCTACCAGTTGGGCGCAGCGATCTACGCTCGCCACACATTTTCTTTCTAAATCTAAAAAGGACAAAGACAATAATTCATGGTATCTAGGTATGATTTGGTTTTCAGAATTAGAAATAATGAAACATTCATCTCGCACACTAGGCATTATCCAAGGTTTGCCAAGTAGAATGACCGATGAAAGGTTTTCTGATAACGGAAAAAAATGTTGCAACCTGACGCCACTTTTTTCTTCATACATCATCTCAATGAAGGTCAGTCATTGCAAAAATGATGATAAGACATGAATCTGGGACTGAGAAACATTTCCAATTTTGTTAGGAAATACTTAGAAACTGTTCTTGACTCTGCATAGACTTTGTACACAACCGCTGAAGTGGCATCAGGTTGCAACATTTTTTTCCCTGATAACTTCCATGTTATGTGTGATTTTGAGTAACTCAGACTCTCAGAACTGTGACAGTTTCTTATTTTCAAAACTGCAAAATGCATAAAGGAGATTTATCAGGATGTCTATTTGCATAACTTCCCTTGTTAGAAACAGTATTTGATAAGTCTTTAATCCATTTGCTTAACCAAATTAAACTTTATATATTCAAAAAAGTGTTCACAAAGCCAACATTTCGACAAAATAATCATGATTAATGCTGAAATGGAACTTCATAAAATTTTTAACAATATTCTTATCAATAACACCACAAATTGTGAAGTGGACAAGAACGTGACAAATAAACTAGAAGGTTTCTAAGCTTCTTTTGCCACCGACCTGCACACGTGTTCTTTAATCCTTGGACAGACGATGCAAGCTCCTGAAGGGAAGACTCTTTCTCTGTAAGCTGATTGGCTAAATCTGAATAAGAATGGCCAAAAATTGATGTGAGAGGCAGTACTTCAATTTAAGTAAAATTTAATTTAATTGGCCAAAAAAAAATCCGGCTAGATCCTGAACAAGACTTTTAGATACATTCTTTACAGTCAAAGAAATCAAAGCTACTTCGTAAATTAATTTTCAGTTTTTTCCTAGGATCTGTAAAATCAGTAACTACTAAGAACAGTGCTTCTTTCTTAACTCTTTCAGTGCCAAACTCGTACATGTACGAGGTATATTTGTTAGTACGAAAGCGCCAACCTCATACATGTACGAGGTAATGTTTGTGATTGAAATCGCCAAAGCTCGTACATGTACGAGGTAGAGTAAACATGTTATCAAAAGGGGGCGCTCTCCTTCTTTCTAATGGTACCATTTTCATGCATGTACGGCCTGAATTAATTTTTTTATTCGTATTCTTGCGAGAGGGCGCTGCACTAAAACTCGTATTTTCTGCAAAAAGTGCGGAATTCCCCTGTGTGTAGGACAGTGTTTCAGGGTGTAGCACTATGTATGTGACTACTATTGACTTTCCAATATACCAAGGATATACCAGAGAGCAACAACAACATATTTAGTGAGTAAAACTTATTTACTTTTTTTTTTTTACAGAATTTTGAACAATTAACAAAAACGCTCGAAGTTGGGCACTTCATGGTTAAACTTTTCAAATTTTGCAGGCACTGAAAGAAGTGTAAGAAGATTGTCAGAGTTGTGATAAGAAAAGGCAGGCTCTGAGCATACTAGAGTAACTCATTTTGACATTCGATAAAGAAAAACCCGAAACAACACATACAGTTCTTAAAGGGAACATTCAAAATTTGCAAACATCGGAAAACAAAACTACCAATTTTTTACGAAATACCTTACTAGGATGTTGCTAAATGACAGTCTAAAGCATCCTGTAAAATTATGGCACCTGGTGTGAAGTCATTTTTCAAAAAAATGTGGTATTTTGTGTAAATTTCCAACGGTGGCCGGCCGACCACCGTTGGAAAAACCTATTTATTTTTCAACTACTGCTACAAATTTACCATTTTTTTTTCAGTCCAAATTTTGTTCACTTTTGGTTACATGTTCATGAATGGGTGCAGGCCAGCTAGATTGGTTTCCTTACCTTACAGTTTTTCGGCATCTATAAATTGATTCATTTCATTTTAGTGGAGTCAGGGGACCAGACTACTTGAATTTTTTGTGTTTTTCTTGGCTTTTCCAGCATTTTCGAACACAATCCTTCAAACTTGTCAGTGTAACAATATTTGATCTATTGTACGAACCCCTCAAATTGTTCATTTCTGAAATTTAAAGCAAAAGCCAATGATGTACATTCCCTTTAAGTGGAGAATGCTTACCTTCTATTGTTTTCGATGACTGTTGCTGCTTTGATAATCCATCTTGAATTTGTGCTTTCTGCAAAAGAAATTAAATCACATAGACGAATAAATAAAAACCTTAGTGTAATGTACAATGTATATGTCTATCATGTACTATCAACCATAACCCTAAAGGATCCACAGGTATTGACAAGGAGGTTTTTAGCTGTAGATAGCAGCTCAACAAGTTGTCATGTCTCTTTGTTAGTTTAGTTAGTTGGTAACAAACCTTGAAGGGCGGGAGAGGGGTTGAAGGTTGTGAGAGGGGGTACTCAAAGGGGCGGGCTGAGTGATGGTGGGGTGAGGTAGGGGTAGAGTAGGGGTGGGAGCTAAGGATTAATGATAATAATAATTTGGGAGGCTAATCATCCTTACTCGCAGCTGGTATGCTGAATTGCGAAGGACGCGGCTACAACGTGGTCGGGCCGCTGGCACGTAAAGGCGCCTATTACTACCGGCCACACCCACCCATATATGACTACGGAGCACAGCCTGAGATCAAAAGTGTTTGGTTTTTCCCGGAGGGAGGAAAACCGGAGGGCCCGGAGAAAAACCCTCGTGGCACAGGAGAGAACCAACGCACTCTACTCACATGTGATCCACAGCCAGGCCAGGATCCGTGGCCGGGATTCGAACCGTGGTCACCTTGGTGAGAGGCGAGCAACAATTTGGGAGGATAATCATCCTTTGGCACGTAAAGGCGCCTATGGCTGCCGACCACATCGACCCATATATGACCACGGAGCACAGCCTGAGATCGAAAGTGTTTGATTTTCCCGAAGGGAGGAAAACCGGAGGGCCCGGAGAAAAACCCTCGTGGCACAGGAGAGAACCAACGCACAACTCTACTCACATGTGACCCACAGCCAGGCCAGGGTCTGCGGTAGGGATTCGAACCGTGGCCACCTTGGTGAGAGGCGAGCGCTTTACGCACAAGCCACCCATGCCATTTGGGAGTGGGGTCTGGAGTTGGGGTTGGATTAGCAGAATCGAAGTGGGATACAAGTGGTATGGGATTTGGGAAGCTGGGCTAGTTCTTCCTCCTATGCTTTCTTGTTTACTATCCCAACCATCGTATCCTGCATACTGTCTTGGGTTAGTGGTGGGGTAGAGTGAGGGTAGGGGATGGGGTCAGGATTTGGCTACATACCAGATGAGCCAGTTCCTCCTCCTGAGACTTCCTCTCCTTCACCATGCCGCTCATCTTTTCCTGCATGCTGGCTATCTCCAGGTCACGCTGGGTCACCATCTCCTCCCGTTGCTTCTGCACCAGCTTGTTGTACTCCTGCTTGGCGACTTGACCCAAGGCGTTCTGGTTCTCCTTCTGCAGGAAGTCGATCTGCTCCTGGTAGGTGGCTGACTCTGCCTCCAGCTCGGCAATCTTGAAGTCTTTCTCCTCAAAATGGCCCTAGGTTTTGGGGGAGGCGGGGAGGGGGAAACAATCGTGGGTTTGTTACGCACCAGCTATGGCATCGTCCCATCCAAACACCGCAAAAAAAGTCCACACTTATTGGAGGGGGTCATAATTTTGAATCTGATCGTCTTATGATAACATCATTTATATAGCTCTTTGGGGAATGTTGTTAGCTACATTTTGATACCTGTTTGCTACCAAAGATTGTAAATCGTCCAAGATTGACAACGGTTTATGAAAAATGATGCAGTTTGAAAAGTTGCAAATTTGAAGAGTACGCGAGTGGAAATTGCTGCGTGATGTTGTCACACTGCCCGAAACGAACGGCAGGGAATATTGATCGCACAGTGCTCGTATGTATGGGAGCACGCGAAATTGAATTACCCGTGCTTTGTTCAGGCACTGTGTAGTCGAAAGGGGCTAAATACCGGCATGTGTGATTACGCTTAGCAACTTCTCCTCGCGTAATCTTTAAATTTGCAACTTTTCAAACTGCATCATTTTTCATAAACCGTTGTCAATCTTGAACAATTTACAATCTTTAGTAGCAAACAGGGTATCAAAATGTAGCTATTGGTGATTTAGCTACCAAAATAATATTGAAAAATCAAGTTACGATATATCGACGGTGCTTAACGACTGATAAATCAATCTTGATCTAAAATTTGACGGACCTGCAATACATCCACCTCTTGCTGTAGTTTGGACGCCCGATGATTCTCTTCCACTAGCCTCTCTTTCAAGGTTTTCACGCGGGCCGTCTCTTCCTTCTGCTCAGCCTGTTGGATATTAAAAAAAAGGTGACAGCGTTTGATTTGTTTAACATGAGTACTTGAAAAGACCTCAGATCGTTCTGAAGATGTTTAAGCCATTGCTTGGTATTCTTATCAAAAAGGTATCAAACTTCCAAACAATTTTGTTCTGCCATTTTACTCGCTGTTCAAGCATTTCTATTGTGGGGGCCGCGGTGTACATGTACTCGACATCTTTGTATTTGGAGATCATATACATGCAAGTGGTTTTCAAGCACTAAATTTAGCCGGCTCGCACGGTGCATAATGCACGCATGTTTTGCGAAGTACAGGGTTTTCCATTTAAACAACAAGCGGTGTTTAAGTAAGGGAATATATATGTGCTTAACCGGTTTTAAACAAGTCGTTTAAAACTAGCTAGGGACACGGATAATGACCCGAGCGAAAAGTCATTTATAAATACCTTTCCAGTCAAAAATTTAAAACAAGACAAACAGTTACAAATTTCTGACAATTTTGTTCAACAATTTACATTTCTTCATGTTTTTTGGGACAACCCTCTGGTTATGGTATGTGCCTTGCGCGCATAGTGCTAAAAATCTCCTTATATGGAGATTGACGTGCATGCGCGTACTGCATGATGTGGCGCAGAACACGGTATTTTTTTATCAGCGGTTCAAAACCACCCACGTGATGGGCTATCGACCAATAGGAATGGGTAAAATGACTCAGGTATTTATGAATGGTGGTTTAAGACCACCCACGTGGTGGGCTTTCGACCAATAGGAATAGATCAACTACTATCAGGTATTTACATACATGTATGAATAATACTGTAGGTCTCATGCAGTGATCTACTCGTAAAATAACTAAAAATGGGAAATTTACTAAGAAGCAACGGCACTGATGTAGACTTTGGTGTAAACATAACATCCCAAAAAATTTAAGGCATAATCATGTGATAAAAAATTCACACACACACACACACAAAACTTAGGAAAAAAATCGCACAAGCTCATTTTTTCTTTTTTTTGGTTCTTAACTTTAACTCCCTAGGCATTTTACTAGGATGCAACCTCAATCCTGCAAAATCCTCTGTTAATTCTAGTATGTGGCTCTTGGAGGGGTGACCACTGCCTCAATCCAGCAAAATACTCCAGCAATTAATCACTGTCAATATATTGAGGCAGAGCCAGTGACATCCTGGAGCAGTGCGGAGGATTTCAAGTATAATCTAGGCCCAAATAGATGCACAGCTGAGCATACTTAACACCAGGTCCGGCCCAAGACCTTGACACAGTGCATCCTCCAAAATCAGCAACACATTTTTGCCATATACATGTAGCCTCAATCCTGCAAAATCCTCCATTTTGCAAAGTGGATTTTGGAGGATTTGGGAAGGTAAGAGGTAACTCTCATACATCCAATGGGGGCTAGAAATATTCACAATGATCTATGCCAACTACGAAGTAAAAAGAAAAAAAAATACAAATTTTGCAGAACTGAAGCATAAAGTGACAAAATAATTATAGAAAACCAACACAGAAACATGTTAATATCGCCATGATGACATAACTTTTTCAGTTACGTCCATAGGTCAGTCACTTCTACTCCCATAGCAGATGGTCAAGACGTTTCAATTTTCAATCTTTTTTGAGGTCAGTGCATTTTATCACCCTCTCCCTAATCCTAAACAATTCTGTCCGCATAATTCCAAAACATGTCAAAAATTTGAGGAATATTAATTGATATCCCAAGATAGCATCAGTCCCGATTAAAAAAAAAATGTCTTTGACTCCAAATTATAATGATTTTAACTGTTTCAATATGTTTATAATATTACAACCATAATATTTGGCAAGACCAACTACTTAAAGTCACATAGGATCGTTTGCAATAACGTGGAAAAGTACCTAGTGATTTAACAACGGAAAACCTTGCTCATAGTCATAGTGAAGATAGGACTGGTATCAAATACCCTATGAAACTACAATCCCGGCCAAAACGGTTGGGACACTTGGAAATAAACTTAGCCTCCCACGGTCACCCACTCCCCCGGTCAATGTTGTTCTCTCCAGCTGATGGAGCACACACCGCGCAATGAGAGACAACATTGAGCGGGGGCCAGGGGGTTGGGGGCCCAGCGAGATTTGGCCAGGATCGTAGTCTGCCTGACATGGTATCATTTTGGAAGAAAACTAACATCAAAATAGCAACAGAATCCAGTAACTAAACCCCAAAATGTTATATATTTTTCTTTTTTTTCTCTCAAAATGTATAATATCCAGAGCTGAAACTTCAACAGGTTACTTATTATACACCCTACTTAAGATTTTGAGCAAAAAATGTACAAATCGCAAATGATCCTACATGTACATATCTCTAAATTTACAAATAAATTAGAAAAATCTACCGTAGAATTAGTAATCACACTATTCCTGAAAGAACGCAAATCACTGTTCTACATTCCAATCAGGCAAATGGCTTTTCAAGGTTTGCCCATCTCTGCCTGAGATATTATTTAATAACCAGCCATCTTATTATAATCTTTTTTTTTTGGTCTTTTTTTTTTAAGCTTAGGGAAAACCAGAGAGGCTTAATCCAATTATCACTCTACAGACGAGTCCTGTTACTCAAGGATCACAAGCGGAGCCGTCCGGAGTCCGCGGTTTACAGGAATAATTGGGATGACCGTTCCTTTCAAGGTCAAAGACGGACATGTCTTCCTAAAAATGGATGCCGCTAATCGGCTTAAAGGGAAAGCAATGCACTTTAGGTGTTTACTTTCGATTGAGTAAACAGACCGACTCACTTACTTAAAAGGTAAGGGTAATATTAAAAAAACACCAATATCTTGTTTTGGTTATAATTATTCTGAGAGGGAAAGGGTGATTTTAGGAAGGTGATTAAAATTTTGATAGACTCGGAGAAAAACGCTGGATTTGCGATAGAATTGAAAGACTCGGAGAAAAACGCTGGATTTGCGATAGAATTGAAAGACTGACTCATTACTTAACCCTAACCGCCCTGAATCCTTCAAAATCCTCTTTGCCAAAGTGGAGGAATTTGGAGGATTGAGGCAACATGGCAAAAGTGCGTTACTGATTTCGTGGATGCACTTTGACAAGGTCTTGGGCCGGACCTTGTTTTTGCTCAGCCATGCATAAATATAGGCCATCCTCTGCACTGCTCAAAGATGTCATTGGCCAAGCCTCAACATATTGACAGTCACTGCCGCAGGATTTTGCTGCATTCAGGCAGTGGTCAACCCTCCACAGACCATATTCAAGAAATAATTGAGGAATTTGCAGGATTGAGGCTATATGCTATTTTTCCATGAGGCCAATTGGAGGATTTTGCAGGCTACATCCTAGCAAAAAGGCCTAGGGAGTTACATGTAGGGTTAAAGGGGAAAAAATGAAATTTTGGTTCAGTTGATTGAGATTGGTTATAATAGTCTTAAAGTTGAAAAATGTGATCATAATTTTGTTGGAAGCTGGAAAAATTTTTTACTTGCAATTGAATAAAAAGACTGACTCATTGTTTGAAAAAAACAACAACTGTGGTTTAGACGACTGAGAATTATTCTAGGATGGGAACGTGGTAAGGATTTTGATGGACTCATGGAACAAAATGAACTTGAGTTGGAATCGACGGACTGATTTATTACTAGAAAAAAATACATTTTTGGTTCGGATGATTATGAATTATTCTGAGATGAAAGGAGTGACTTTGGGATTTTGATTATTTGAAGATATTTCAAAAAACGGACTTAAGCAGAATAAAAAAAACAATTAACACATTGCTCAAAAACTTAAAATAAAAAAACTAATTTTTCTTGTTGATTAAATATGGTTATAACTTTTCTCAGAGGCAAGGTCAAATTTGGGAATGTGATAAGGGTTTCTGCTGGACTCAGGAAAAACTTGGTCTTATTCATTCAGCAAAAACGTGCACATTTTTATTGGCATGGCATATGTTTGTATTCATAAATACCTAAGACCGTTTACGCACTCCTATTGGTCGAGAGCCCGTCACGTGGCCGGTCTTAAACGGATGATAAAGACATGACTAGGTGGTCTTCAACAATTTTCCAGTGCAGAGTGTCACAGTGAAATTTGGACTCCCATGAAATCCGGTGCCTTTTACGTTTCATTGGTTAAACGTTCACATTCCTCACGCTGGCATGCGCAATACTACCAGTGAATCAGTATTTTATAGTCCGATATTCACACTACACCCGCCCAGCTGCGTTTTGCGGGACATCGCGCAGTACGCGCACACCAATCTCCTCATAAGGTAATGACATGTAGAGGTGGAATGCGTGACGCGCACGCAATTGTCGAGGGGCATTCCATATTATAGTCAGAGGGGTGTTTCGTAAAACATGAAGTAAAAATGTTGAACAAAATGGTTGACAACGTCTAGTTTTTGACTTTTTTGGATTTTTGGACCAAAGATTTTTTTTTTTGACCAAAAAGGTATTTATGAATGGGAATAAATATGTGTTCCGTCGGTATTAAACACTCTGTTTAAAACCAGTGTGAGTCTGGATGGGTAATTATCACCCATCCAGACTCACACCGGTTTTAAACAGAGTGTTATAATACCTCTGGATCACACAGGAAAGCCAAAATTAAATCGAATAAATATTTACCAACCAACAACAAAATATCAACACTTTGTCGCAATAACATTTTTCTTTAGATCACAAACATCTGGATCAAATAAAATTAAAATGCCTCTCACCTTAAGGTCTGTAGAATTGATGTTGGCCTCTTCAAGCCGAAACTGAAGATCCTCCAGCTTTCTGCAGACATTAAAAAATAAAGAAAACGACTGTTAATACAAAAAAGGCCACGTTCGCATACTTTAATCCGCAATTACCTACATTAAGCACGTATCACACATGACAATGGCATTACGTTGAGAAATTCATTGATTTCGGGCATCAACTCCTTTCATTTGCAACTGCGTTAGAAATTTCTCACGCTTGATATGACAGAAAGTCATCGTTTTGCCTGACATATTCTCAAATGCCAGCCCCATTAATATTCAACGCTGCTATTCAAGATGTAATACTTTTCTGTTCTCACATGCATTAATGTGGTTTGCACTAGGGAATACTTCCTTTAAAGCTACAATCTATCATTTGCAGCTATCCAAAAAGGAACTGACTGAATAATTATTGTTGAAAAACATACTTGGTTGAAAGATAGGAAGGGGACTAAACTCCCTGTGAATTTATTCTTTCTGGCAAGCTGTAATTTTGAAGAAATCAACGAAAGAAGGCCTTTCCAAAGGTGCGTTGGAAATTTCCGTTTGTAGTTAGTGTTTTTATTCGGCGAAGCACACGCAAGCTTTGGCATGACACACGGGTGCGCGGTTGCTAATAATTGTCGGATCGGTGTGCGACATCGCGTAGCTGCAATCAGCTCAGTGACAACGTGTCTCGGACGCTGAATTCAGGCCCAATTCAAAACATGATCCAGCAACTTTCGATTTGAAATCAAGATCCTAGAATGCTGTTTTTCTCGGAATATACAGCTGAAGCCGAGCTGAAACTTCATCAGGTTAGTTGTTCAGTGCCCTTCTTTAGATTTTGAGCACTTTTGTTGCTTCATACGAACAAAATGCAGAAATTACAAATGACGGACTATCCCTTTAATACCCTCGGGTGAATAAAAGAAATTGGAAACAGACGTGCCTTCATGACTACATATGGAATTGTGCCCCTCGATGTTATATTTTTAGCAGGTCTCATATCCTTTCGACCAGGAAGCTAATAAGCAAGTGCCACAGATGAAAAAGCTATTTATGGGCAACCCACCAGACCGTATGATGTCAATACCATGCGTTGCCATGATATAAAGACGTCAACGAAAGATCCAGTAACCCGATTTGAAAACATTTCTGTTTGTTTCAACAGAGAGTTTTATTTTTTTCTTTGTAGAATGTGGGATGTCATGAATCTTTGAATTTAAAGGAGTGTGCTCCATGCTTTTTATAAAAAAACAAGTCAGGTGTGTTTACAAACACAAATGCCCCGCAACCGTGACTGTTTCCATGACATAACACCACTCTAACATCAAATTACATGTACCTTGGTCAAATGGAACGTTCATTGACAGCATTAGTGTCTTCTGTAGGTTTTATATGAATTAATCCCTAATCCCTATGATCTCAGAATAAATACAAGATTTCTATTGTTTTAGCCACTGTGACCTTGACCCTTGACCTTTCGACCCCCAATGCGATAGGTTCCTTAGGATTGCCAAGGACAATCCACAAACCAAATTTGAAGTTCATATGTAAAGTATATCTCAAGTTATCGCGCTGACAAAATTTCTTTTGTTTTTGCCACTGTGACCTTGACCCTTGACCTTTTGGCCCCAAATGCAAAAGGCTTCTTAGGATTGCCAAGGACAATCCACAAACCAAATTTGAAGTTCATATGTAAAGTATATCTCAAGTTATCGCGCTGACAAAATTTCTATTGTTTCAGCCACTGTGACCTTGACCCTTGACCTTTTGGCCCGTAATGTAAAAGGCTTCTTAGAATTGCCAAGGACAATCCACAAACCAAATTTGAAGTTCATATGTAAAGTATTTCTCAAGTTATCGCGCTGACAAAATTTCTATTGTTTCAGCCACTGTGACCTTGACCCTTGACCTTTCGGCCCCAAATGCAAAAGGCTTCTTAGGATTACCAAGGACAATCCACAAACCAAATTTGAAGTTCATATGTTAAGTATTTCTCAAGTTATCGCGCTGACAAGATTTGTCCGGACACACACACCCACACACCCGGACTTGTTTCACATACGTAGTGTGGACTTTCCTTTCTTTTCGTGTAGTTAAGGAACACCAGTGGAAAAACTCATTTTTCTCAAACTGTGAAAACTCTTACAACCCAATTTTTTTTCTATGATTCCCTATAGTGTTTCTCTTCATTCTGCTACAAATAAACCTAACCCAAAAATGCCTCTAAACCTGTTTTCCAGAAATGGGGAAACACTGTGTGGACGTGGGCAAGTCCACACAACGTCGGTGCTACCTACATTATGTGGACGTGTTTTGTTCGGAAGTCCACACTGCGTATGTAAGACAAGCTCACCCACCCACCCACACACACACCCACACACCCACCCACCCACGGAAGGACAAGGCGGAAACAGTATGCCCCTTCGGCTTCGCCGCGGGGCATAAAAAATCTGTTTTGGTTAAACCCTAATCCCCTAGGCCCCTTTTGCTACGAAGAATCCTCAATCCTCCAAAATCCACCAAAATTTGCACTCGCATGTATGCTTAAATGAAGGCTACCCACTGCCTCAATCCTTCAAAATCCTTCAACAGCCCTGCCTCGCAAAATGCATTCAGCCTCAATCCTCCAATATCCTCCACTTCTTCAAACACCATTTATCCTCAATCCTACAAAATCAACTGATACTGAATGTCCATACATGCCCTTAATCCACCGCAGAATTGGTTTCATGGATTTGGTTCTCTTGGATTTGGCTGTACCTACATGTAAGTGCAAGGGATTTGGTTCCATAGAATTCAATTCCATTGGTTCCATAAAATTTGATTCCATTGGTTCCATTGCATTTGGTTCCATAAATTTTGGTTCCATTGGTTTAGGCACTACACAAGTCCGTGAGATTTGGTTTCATAGGATTTGGTTCCAGGGACTTGGTTCCATTACATATGGTACTACACAAGTGCATGCGATTTGGTTCCCTACGATTTGGTTACATTGGATTTGGTTCCACTCGGTTTGGCACTATACAGGTCCGTGGGATCTAGTTCCATAGAATTTGGTGCCATGGGGCTTGGTTCCATTGGATTAAGCACTACACTAGTCCGTGAGATTTGGTTTCATAGGATTTGGTTCCAGGGACTTGGTTCCATTACACTTGGCACTACACAAGTGCATGCGATTTGGTTCCCTACGATTTGGTTACATTGGATTTGGTTCCACTCGGTTTGGCACTACACAGGTCCATGGGATCTAGTTCCATAGAATTTGGTGCCATGGGGCTTGGTTCCATTGGATTAGGCACTACACAAGTCCGTGAGATTTGGTTTCATAGGATTTGGTTCCAGGGACTTGGTTCCATTACATATGGTACTACACAAGTTCATGCGGTTTGGTTACCTACGATTTGGTTACATTGAATTTGGTTCCACTCGGTTTGGCACTACACAGGTCCGTGGGATCTAGTTCCATAGAATTTGGTGCCACGGGGCTTGGTTCCATTGGATTTTGGTCTACGCAAGTCCATGGGATCTGGCTCCATAGGATTTGGTTCCATTGGATTTGGCACTACACAAGTCTGTTGGATCTAGGTCCATATGATTTGGTTCCAAAGGATTTGGTTCCCATTGGATTTGGCACTACACAAGTCTATGGGATCCAGTTCCATAGAATTTGGTGCCATGGGATTTGGTTTAATGGGGTTTGGCACTATGTACACTGGTAGTCTGTGGGATCTGGACCCATAGGATTTGGTTCCATTGGATTTGGTTCCATGTGGTTTGGCACTACACAAGTCTGTGGGATCTGGATCCATATGATTTGGTTCCATAGGATTTGATCCAATTGGATTTGGTTCCTTTGGATTTGGTTCCATTGGATTTGGTTCCATTGGACTTGGTTTCATTGGATTTGGTTCTGTTAGATTCAGCACTACACAAGTGCATAGGATGTGGTTCCATAGGATTTGGTTCGATGGGACTTGTTTTCATGGGACTTGGTTCCATAGGATTTGGTTTCATGGCATTTGGTTCCACGGGATTTGCTTCCAAAGAATAAATTACTTCTGTCCTGAAACTCACCTTCTCTCTTCTTCCAGTTGCTGCAAAAGCTCCACTTTCTCCCTGTCAGCCGACTCGACCAGCGCCCTCAACGAGTCCAAGTTCTCCTCACTGTCGCGTACATACTACTCCAAAAAAAGGATACAATTTTGCCATCGGGTAACTTCCAAAACTTAAAAGTTTAGTTTCTGGATGAATAGATGATATACAGTGTACTTTTCTGAGATTTGTTCAATGATATACGATGCATTTGTGTCCGAACTCCATGCATGAGGGGCGCAACCCATGCGAGTGATGGTTTGTGCATGTATGCACTTATTTTATCCTGAATTGGAGTCTTTGCATGAGCGTCAGGCGATGATGCCAATGCATTTGAATGTCTCTTCCAGTGGTCTCCCCCAACTCTGCCTTTGTAACCATTGAACGAGAACTTGTGCACAGAGTCCTTTACTTTCTCTGATGATGTACATCTCAATTAGCACATAAACAGTTCTTCACAGGAACTTATTTCGCACGTATTATACAATTTATGTACAGGATGAAAAAAAAAAACGAAACCCAAATGTCGGGACCATTGTTGTGTGAAGGTCTGCATGTAGCACCTTCAAAATCTAGGATATGAGAGCCCAATTCATAAGCTTTCTTTTAGTACAAGAGTCATCCGAATCACTCATGTACTTCTCAAGTTACACGGAATTTTAAACACAACCACCGTTTTAAAGTTCTGTCCACGGATCACAAAAAAGGCATGCGTTCTTTCAGCGAAACAAAAACCATTCACACACATCCCTATTTGATTTGTTTTGCTTTTGCTGAAAGAACACTTCCCTTTTTGTGATCCGTTGACAGAAATTTAAAAAGGTGGTTGCCTTTAAATTTCCGTAACTTGAAAAGTACATGAGTGATTCGAAAGATTCTTGTACTAAAAGAAAGCTTATGAATTGGGCTCTCATATCTGAGATTTTGAAAGTGCTACATGAAGAACTTCACTAAAACAATGGTCCCGACATTTGGGTTTCGTGTTTTTTTACTCACCCTGTACACAATTCTTCACAGGAACAAATTTCGCACAAGACACGTATTATCCAATTTTTGTATACGAGCTCCAAATGTCTTATGTGTCCAGACTCCAGAAAAATCTTCTGACACTCTGGTCAGTAAGTGATGCACCCACAAAGGTCTGTTAATATGTACATGCGTGTCAGTGAAGTAATGAACACAATAATGAGCCATTGTTTGCATTGTACATGTATGACTATGCCACACAATGAATTTTCCTTGTTTTAGCCCAACAGGAAATAATAAAACCCATGCCAGTGTCTCTGTAAAATCAACTTTTCATTTGAGGGGGGTCGAACGACTTCCCCTTGATGACATACTAGAGGTTTGATATTAGGCATGCACTTTCTAAAGTACAAGGTTTTGCTTGTGATTAGTAAACATGCTGGTTGACATAATGGGGAAATGGGTAGTCTACATAAAGGTTGTGTTAGGTCGATCAGTTAAAAATAGAAACGGAAATAAGAATCTTGTACCCGGTAGGTTGTGCAGGATTAAGTACAGGTCATTCATAAACTTATTCAGCCATGACCTCATACATATTCATCAACATCCTTCCTTTCTTTTGCTATTGATTCAACAGGGTTGTCTGGCCATTGGACATGACCTCATACATATTCATCAACATCCTTCCTTTCTTTTTTGCTATTGATTCAACAGGGTTGTCTGGCCATTGGACATGACCTCATACATATTCATCAGCATCCTTCCTTTCTTTTTTGCTATTGATTCAACAGGGTTGTCTGGCCATTGGACATGACCTCATACATATTCATCAACTTCCTTCTTTCTTTTTTGCTATTGATTCAACAGGGTTGTCTGGCCATTGGACATGACCTCATACATATTCATCATATGATGGACGTGTAATCAGTCTGTGATGAGCACATGATGGACTTACATGTATACATATTCATCAACTTCCTTTCTTTTTTGCTATTGATTCAACAGGGTTGTCTGGCCATTGGACATGACCTCATACATATTCATCATCTGATGGACTTGTAATCAGTTTGTGATGAGCACATGATGGACTGATACATATTCATCAACTTCCTTCCTTTCTTTTTTGCTATTGATTCAACAGGGTTGTCTGGCCATTGGACATGACCTCATACATATTCATCATCTGATGGACTTGTTATCAGTTTGTGATGAGCACATGATGGCCTTATGACGACTTATCTACAAATGTGCCTTTGATTGTCAAAATTTGGTGTCCATAGCAACGGTTGTCAAGGGGATTGCTGTACCTGTTCATGTTGCGCCTTGATAACTGCTAGTTCATGCTCGGCCTGGTGAGATAACTGTCAGACATGATGCATGTAACACAAGGCAAGGGGGAAAAAAGAGAAAATGAGGACAGCGAGAAAAAGAAAACAAAAATAAGGAGGAAAAGAGAAGAAATAAAGTTGGGTTTAGTGTTATTGTCCATGCTGGGCCATCAATCCATAGAGTTTCTGGTTGAAGACGTGCTAAGCAATTTCTGTCCCTTCGCACTTTTTGAAGTATACCAACCATACTGCAATGACATGTGAATTGCTTATGGTTGGTTACCGGTTAAATTTAACCCTTAACGTTTATCTGCTAAACCAAAAGTTACCATTCTAATCTTTAGAAGTTATTCAACAATGAACGCATGTCTGTAAACATGTTTCACTTAGACTGTTATTAAGCAAACTTCTCCTTTTTTCCTTTTTAAAGCAGTTCAAACAGCTTAGTGTACAGTACATTGTAGATTATTTGACAACATCAATTTTTCGTTTATGCTCAGCATTTATCTTCCACTTCGCAACTCTATGAATTTGGTCCTCGTTTAGTAAGTTACATTAATGGGTGCAGGGGCGGAGTCTACAAGATGGGAGTGGCATTAATGGTGGGGTCCAGGCCAAATTTGGTCATGGTCCCCGAGGGATGTGGTACAAGATCAGTATGAAATGGGCCAGTACACCATGGGATCCGACTATTTTGAAAACAGATAATGTAAGACTACATCTCATATTAACAAACCAAAATTATATTGTTTGAACTTGATATCATTCTGCCGGATATAATGGGTCAAGGCTAAAAAAAAGTAAATCTGGGCTCAGACTGCAAAAAATTCTATTCACTTGATTCTGAATGGATTTTTACTGGAAGTCTTTTCATGTATACATCTGGTGTACACAATAGGCTAAATTGAGGCTCCTAGGGAGTAATCCTATACAATAGCACTGCCCGACTCTCGTCACCAGCCAACAACCAGGCTAAGTCACGAGTGACAGTCAGTCAGACAGTCAGTCAGTCAATCAGTCAGTCACGGAATATAGATTCACGAGGAAGCCATTTCGATCTTGTTCCCTGAATCTGTTAAATAAATTGTAAACTGTTGAATGGAATGGTGCCAGATTTTTTTTAGGATTGAAGTGAGCTCCAAGCCTCGCTTTCAATTTTCTTTTAAAATGTGGCTTAAAACATGTTAGTATGCTTAATCACAAATTTGAAATGATTCATCAGAGCAGACTGGTATTAATTTGTACTGAGCTTTAATTTCATTGTTTTCATTTCTACGAGTTCGCAAGTTCCGACAAGGTTATCCGCGGATCAAAGGTGTCGCCTTTTTTCACAGTCGATCTCAAAATGTGTTGTGCTCTTAGAAAAAGTCACATTTTTGAACAATGACCTCAAATGATCCTAGATGACCTTTGACCTCCATTTTCGGAAGAGGTGTCATGAACCCCCACCCAAGGATGACTCCATCCAGGTTACATTAAAATCCATCAAATTCTGTAGACAAGGAAATATTTAAAACATATTTGAACAATGACCTCTAATGACCCCTACATGACCTTTGACCCCAGTAATCCGATGAAGAATTGTGTTTTCCCACCCAAGGGTCACTGCATCCAAGTTTCATCAAAATCCATGAAGGCATGTAGAAGTTACATGTTTTTCAAAACCTTAACTTAACTTTAACATACGATCATATACAGAGATACGGTCATACAGAATTTAGGTCTGGTAAGTGTCCCCCCAAAACTTTGTTTAGGCGACACAAAAATGAGTTTACCTCGCTTTCAATTCAATATGGCCGACTTGTGAATAAAGTCTATAGGCTGGCTATGCTAGAACCACAAAAAAACCCTCAGCTTTCCAATAGCAAATGGACTCTTTTTTTTGCAACAGAATATTCTTACATGTATGCCTAACTCAATATTAACACACGTTTACATGTACATACATGTACAATGAATCATTTAGTGCACTCACCTCTACAACTGAGCTATATCTTAATTCATACATTGTACGTCACACTTTTCGTAATCACAAATCCAGCCCGTAACTGCGTGTTTGTGTTTGTAATTATAAAGGCACCAGATGTGTGTACCCGGTACACTTGTATTTTTTTAAGATTATGGAGGAATCTTTTGAAAAGCCACAAGGAAAATGGTCTCACTTATGTCAGTCCGAAGCGTAAAGAGTCGTTGTACGTATGTGTCATCTTGCATTCTGGCCCATTAGTATTACTGAATTAGAGTCATCTGTGGCGGTGAGGTGACCCGTGAATGTGGGCTCGAAATGCGTGAGTCGGAAGATGCTTTGAAGGGTATAGTAGAATATATTTATCCCGTTAGATGTACATGCAGTGACCATTTGTAATATTATCACAATAATAGTTGTTGAGTACATGTACAAGTCTGAAAAATCAATTAAAAGTCAAAATTTGTCTGTTTCTATTTTCAATGAATAACATTTTTTTTTTAGTTAAAAGACATCGACTTAAATAACAATGTTCATCTAAAAAATTAATCGATCGAATGGGTCAGCCAGTGAGTAAATGAAAATCATGGAGCTGGTCACGTTTACGTAAATTGTGTTTGTTTTAAAAGACTCAAATGAAAAGGATAGCCTTATGCTCAGATTTTCACGATGTGAACATTAAGATTTTTGCCCAAGATTTTCCCCACACAATTACGGTATATAATTCATTCCACAGTTTGTCGTTAAGTTGAAATAGTTTCCTAAATCAGTGCAAAGCAAGGTGCAAGTCAATAAATACATCTACATGTACTACACTGCATGCGACAAAGAACCAATGGCCAATAGTGAAAGGAAGAGCCAATCAAAGCCAGCGACAGGAGCAACCAATCACATGAGCCCACATGTATGTACATGTAACCTAGCGACAGCCAATCCCTTCTACTGTACATGTACCTTAGCCACAGCCACCAACAGCTGTTACTGTAAGGTACAAGTGATTCTGAGGGGTGGGTGTGGGATGGGGTGGGGCTGGATATGGTGGAAGGGGGCGGGGTTTGGTGGCAGTGGCAGGGCTTGGTGGGAGGGTGCAGGTTTGGTGGGAGCTGGGCAGGGCTTGGTGGAAGGGGGCGGGGCTTGGTGGGAGAGGCAGGGCTTGGTGGGAGGGTGCAGGCTTGGTGGGAGCTGGGCAGGGTTGGTGGGAGGGGACAAGGTTGGTGGGAGGGGGCAGGATATGGGGTAGGGTGGGATTTGGTGGGAGGGGTGGGATTTGGTGGGAGGGGTGGGATTTGGTGGAAGGGGTGGGGTTTGGTGGGAGGGGCGGGGTTTGATGGTGATTTTTGGTGGGAGGGGCGAATTTGGTGGGGCAGGGTTTGGTGGCAGGGACAAGGTTTGGTGTAAGGGGCGAGGTTTAGTGGGAGGGGTGGGGTCTAGTGGGAGGGGCAAGTTTGGTGGGAGGGGTGGGGTTTGGTTCGAGGGGTAGGGTTTGGGACTGCAAGGTTTCTGTGACCTTTGACCTCACCTCTAGCGATTCTCGGCTCAGGCCAGAGTCACTGTCCCTCTTCCGCTGAAGTCGGGAATGGGCGGGGGACTCTTGGTGGAGGGGCTGCGTTACCGTGGCAACCAAACCAGACTCGTTGGGCATTTCATCAGCATGGCCATGCACGTGCGCATTGTCAGCTTTAAAACCAAAACCATTTCTTTTTTCCGGCTGGTGGTGTTTTTTTTCAAAAGGGAAAAAAGCAGGCAACAGGCAAGAGAGGAGTTACATGGACAAATAAAAAGAAATGAAAACGTCAGATTTACATAAAATGAAAGAAAAATAAACATTGATGTTACAATGAAACTGATAATAAAAAGCACAGAGTACATTTATGTGTTTGGCGAAGAAAAACAAAATTGCTAAAAACAAATAGTAAGGGAAAGACAGAAATTAAAATAAACAAAAAAATATTTGAATTATAACAGAATGAGTGAATTTAATGAAATACAACACATGTACCACAGCAATCTGTTTCTTATTGTAAATGTACAGATTTTGTCAGAGTTTACTTTTCAAACAAAATGTTGTTAACCACCGAAACCGACACTATCACTTGTCATTCAAAAAGCACAGCATACTGGTACATATCACAAGAAAATAAATAAATAAAAAAATTTAAAAAATGAAAGCAAAAAACAGTTCCTTGTCTAAATTTTTGCCCGAATCACATACAAATGCATCTAAGTCACACGGTAGGCCGGTTCATTGCACGAAAGTTTATGCAAAATCGCGAACCCAAAGTTGTGACGTCAAGTTTTTGCAGTGCGAATTTGCAATAGTTAAATCCTTTTCTCCGGCGAATCTCACAGCAAATTCTTTGTGACGTCAAATTCGCTGAGCATTCGCAAGAATTTTAAAGTGGCTTTTACGTTAGGAATGCATTCAAAACTAGAGTAAGATATGAAGAACCAAAGCTGAAGCGGAGCTGAAGCGCAGAAAATTTTGCTTTGCCAAAATCTGCTGCGAACCAGTGAAAAGCAAAATACATTCCACGACAATCTGGCTGGTTACCAGTTGATACTGAGCAAGTATTACATTACAGAGGTGAAGTTGTGACATTTTCGCAATAATGTGTGTGTCATGGATATGCGCGTAATCGTCACGAAAATATTCGTTGCCAACTCGCATACAACTGCTAGCTTGCCGTAACTAACGTCTAAAGAGTGATTTTGGCATTTGTTATAACGTGAAGAAAAAGGAGGTACGGTACATGTACATGTAAAACCTCATCATATCACGCATGCAAATATGTTTATGACTGATAAAGAAATTTTATCAGAGGTCAAACAAACTATGTCATATTCAAAAGACTGAAGAAGAATATCTCATAAAACAATAGTATTTTCAATATTTTGGAAAACGCATGCATACTCAGATTCTAAGAAATATCTGCTTCAATTCTTTTCCGCGTACACGATTACGGAACGCAAAGCTTCCAGTACGCGCAGGCATGCAGCTGGGAATTTTAAAAACGAGGAAACTCCAAACCACACAAGACTTTGTTCAGTGTTTTTCAACTGTAATGGCATTCATTAGAAGTAAAAAACGGATCCGAGGAAAAGTTGCATGCCTGAACGCATTGTTGTATGTGCTTAGCAAAATATCTTTGTTTAGAAACTCCTTAAAATTGGCCCGGGAGCACTTAGTGTTTAGCGAACACGACCTACCTGTGGCACACCAGCACTTATTCTTCTTGTAGCCTCCTGTGTCCGCGGCGATCCGGAATCAGCCGCCGATCCCCCGTGGCCCATGTTCCTGGAGAAGCTGGACGCCGTGGAGCCCATGGAGCTCAGGGAGCTGGTACTGCTGCTGCGTTTTTCCCTGGTAACCGTCTCGAGGTTGGAAGAGCGAGGAGGGGGCTTGCCCCGCACTTTGGTGACTTTGTGGATGGGAGCGAAGAGGCCGTGCTTGGGCTTGCATTGGAAATACCTGATATGAAAAAAGTGTAAGGAGTTGGTTCTTGGTCCATGGTTGGTTCTTCTCCTAAATACTCCACGTGGGAGTTTATACAGGAGGCCAGAAACACTGGGGCAAAGCCCTTCTCTTAGCGATAAGCGTTTACTGAGTTCTTTTACATGCATTATACAACACACGGGACCTACGGCTTTACGTCCCATCTGAAGGACGAAGCAATAATGGTTAAGTGCCTTGCTTAAGAGCACAAGTGTCCGCCGGCGGGCTCGAACCCACGTCACTGTTGCCTCTGAAACACCAGAACATGAGTAAGGTGCTCTTAACCGCTAGGCCATGACACTCCAGGAGTTATGAGTATCACTTTTCCCAAGTCCAACTTTAGTATTACAACCCTGTAGGGCCAGATGTTTTTGCCTACATGTAGCTCTTCATCCAACTCAGGAAAGGTGCAGTCCGCTTACCAAGCTCAAGTGTAATTGGGGTGCTGTGGTCCAATGGTTGTGGTGTTTGACTCATGTGCCGCGGTACATTGGTTTGAATCCTGACCGTGGGAACATGGTGCTTGTGCTCTTGAGCAAGGCACTTTACCATTATTGCTTCGTCCTTCGGATGGGACGTAAAGCCGTAGGTCCCGTGTGTTGTGTAATGCATGTTAAAGAACCCACTAACACTTATCGCTAAGAGAAGGGGTTAGCCCGGTGCTTCTGGCAGTGGCTGCAATATGCGCTGCAGCACCTTGTAAACCCGTGCTACATAATGGGTCTCATATTTCTCATTAACTTCATTTACCTGTCTTTAATAATAGACATAATTTCCAGCCCCTTGAGTACCTAATTGTTGGTAGATACGTGCGCCATATAAGACTTATTAGATATTCAACTTCAGATAAACTAGTATGACTATGCTCGCATTTAGCATAAATTCATCAAGTGTTCGTGCACAGGCCGTAAACAGACATTGTTTCTGCCTAGGCCCAATCATTTTTGCCCAGCTCTTCATCCAACTCAACAAAGGCGCAGTCCCCTTTACCAAGTGCAAGTCAATTTCTTTCTCCTACTTAATATCTTTGATTGCTCAGGCCAAATAGCACCCTCAAGTTTCATGCGCAGGCCATATACAGACCTTGTTCCTGCCACGGTACTGTCATTCTTTCCCAGTTAGTCATCAAACTCTACCCCAGCCTAGCCCCACTTGGAAAACTGAGTCAATTTCTTTCTCGAACCTAATAATATCTTTGATTGTTCAGTCCAAACACCGCCCTCAAGCGTTCACGCGCAGGCTGTATACCATGTACATTTGTACATGTATACTGTACATACCTTGTTCCTGCTACGGCACCGTCGTTCTTGCCCAGTTCGTCATCCAGCTCTACCCCGGCCCAGTCCCCCTTGGCAAACTCGGTGGTGCCGATGTACCTCAGCGTGCCTAGCTTGGTGCCGCTGACCATGACGCGATCACCACCCTGAAAAGCAACGACGGGGAAAAAAGAAAAAATGGATGATCTCAACATACCATAGAGTTATAATTCTTTTTTTAAAGGGAATATACAACATTTGCAAATTTCAAAAAACAAAACTACCAAATTGTTGTGAAATACCTTACTGGACTGTTAGTGGATGACAGTCTATTTAAAATCATGGTAACTGGTGTGCTGACGTTTTCAAGAAAAGTTGTATTTTTGTGTCAATTTCCAAAGCTGGTCGGCTGACCAGCGTTGGAAAAAAACTGGCTTTTTTGAAATACTGCCCCCAATTTACCATAGTTAGTCAGTCCCCATTTTGTTTGCAATCGATTACACACCTATGAACAGGTACAAGCCAGCTAGACTGGTTCCCTGACCTTACAATTCCCCGACGTCTATAAATTGCTCCGTTTCATCTTAAATGGGGACAGGGAACCAGACCACATGAACTCGATTGTTTTTCTTGGTTTGTCCAGCATCTACGAACACAAAACTTCAAACAAGTCAGCGTACCAATATTTGCTATAAAATAATAACCCCCAAATCCATCCATTTCTGAAAATTACAGCAAAAGCAAATGTTGTACATGTATATATTCCCTTTAATATGCTACCGGTACGTGCACTAAGTGGACATGCTTACGGGGGTACGCAGCGGCCATTTTCCAAGTGAGCAAAACACAGAGAATTTCCGCGCTTAAAGTGGACGCATGCGGGTATTTTTCAATCGTATGTTCTAATTATAACACTCTGCATTTGCCCACTTAAATAGCCGCCGTGCGTCTTTATTGGCACGTCTGCGTATATCGAGTGCAGTCTCTATTTCGCTAGTTTTTAATGTACATTCATAAATACCTGAGACAGTTTATCTATTTGTATTGGTCGAGAGCCTGTTACGTGGGTGGTTTTAAACCGCTGTTTAAACACCGCTGAAAAGTGTTTCAAAACTGGTCAGTAATTAAATTGGCCCTTGAATCAGGACTAATGCTGTGCAAACCCGACCCGAAACCGACCCAACCCAAAACTGACTTTGGGTCAGGTCGGGTCATTTTCCCTATCTTTTCAGTCGGGTCGGGTCGGTTTCGGATTTGCGTTTTCGTTTCAGGTCGGGTCAGTTAAATCATCTTGTGAAAAACGCGAAATAAACCGAAAAAAAACTAAACAGTTCAGAAACTCACGCAATATTATTACAGAGTTACTGTGCCCAGTACGACCAACGTCAACCTACCGCGCGATTGTGGATGTGATTTGCGGTCTATCACGCACAGTCTATAATGTGTAGGCCCACCAGTAGGTAACTTTAGGAGTCTTGACCGTACCGTACGGAATGATTCTTTACTGAATGACGACGATTTCCACCAACACGGGTAATTTCAGGCACAAAAAGTGGACACAGTTGCCAAAACCAGATATTCGGTGTTTTTTTTTTTTGTCGGTCTGGTTTCCGGTCAGGTCGGTGTTTTTTTTTCGTCATTTTGGTTTCGGGTTAGTTCTTGCTTGAATTTTTGTTGGTCGGGTAGGATTTAGGGAGTTCATGTCGGTTTCAATTTTTATTCGGTTTTATGTCTAATGTTTCGGGTCGGTTTGGCCTGGTCAACCAGACCCAATGCACAACTTTAATCAGGACAATAAGTTTCTGCTTTCTGAAATGTATTCTTCAAAGTTTGTAGGTTTTGAAGTTCAAACAAAATTTTTTTTTGATAATAATGTTTATAAAGTGCATGTTTCCACCAATATTTGTGCTTAAGGCGCTACATCATTTAAAGTAAATAATTTGACAATTTACATTTTTAATGAAATTGGTCTTAGAGGAAGAAAACATGGCTTATAGGGAATGTACATCATTGGCTTTTGCTGTAATTTTCAGAAATGAACTATTTGAGGGGTTAGTATAATAGATCAAATTTTTTTACACTGACATGTTTGATGTTTTTTGTTCGAAAATGCTGGAAAAACCAAGAGAAACAAAAATGTTCAAGTAGTCTGGTTCCCTGACTCCACTAAAGATAAAATGGATCAATTTCCAGATGCCGGAAAATTGTAAGGTAAGAGAACAAGTCTAGCTGGCCTGCACCCGTTCATGAATATGTAACCAATAGCAAACAAAATTTGAACTGAATAAAAAATGGCAAATTTTGAGCAGTAGTTGCAAAATAGTTAGGTTTTTCCAACGGTGGTCGGCTGACCACCGCTGGAAACGTATACAAAAATACCATTTTCTTGAAAATGACTTCACACCAGGTGTCTTAACTTTACAGGATGCTTTTGACTGTCATTTACTAACATCCTAGAAAGGTATTTCGTAAAAACTTGGTAGGTTTTTTTTTTGATGTTTGCAAATGTTGTATATTCCCTTTAACAAAGAGACAAAAAATGTTGCAGTAAAATTTTATCTGCTTGTGTCCGCTTGCTCGCCCATAGCACATGTATAAAGAATTTGGAAAGTTGTGACAGTGTTTTGGGGACTTAATCAAAATTGGTTTCTGTTTCCATGCAACAAGTGTTAATGACTTTTGGCCAAAAGCAGCCCTCTCCTAATAAATTAAAATCATACATGCATACGTACCATCGAAATTTAACTCCTAAACAGTGCGTGACATGGAAGCAATTTCCAATGTTTTGATAAAAATTTCCACATAATTTCACTGTTTATATTTGGAAACACCCTTGTAAATCCAGCGATTTCATGAGGTACCACGAACGACCTGTTGACACCATCTTGAGGAATGCAATTATGAAATCAGATCTGTTGATGTTTTATAGGGTTTGTATATTGATAGGCCACCCCTGGGTTTGAACTCTGCAGTGTTAACACTTCGATGACGGTGCACACACGTTTATGATGATTTAATGTGCTGTAGATTAGTGCATTGTCCACTGGTTATGCACTGAATACCAAACGCAATGTAAATTTTCCAAAAGTACGAGGACATTTGCTTTTGCTGTGATTTTCAGAAATGGATGGATTTGGGGGTTAGTATACAAATAACGAATGTTTGTGAGTGCAATGGTAAGAATAATTTCATGAGGTGACAGATTGAGTGTTCTATTCCACGAGGCGAAGCCAAGTGGAATAGAACATTCAATCTGTCACCGAATGAAATTATTCTTTCCATCGCACGAACCTAAAACATTCGTTATTTGTTTTATACAACACCTGAATAAATTCTCGTCATTTGATTGGTAAATTATAAACTACAATTTATTTTGATTTTAAAGATGTTGAACTACCCCTTCACGAAAATGTTTGAACCCAACGCTGTAGCCCTGGCTCTTTGGAACAATACGCGCTACGCTGAACGCGCACACCAGCATGCATTTTGCACGCAAATACCGCGTCATGGAACAAGCGCAAAGTGAAACGGTATAACGCATGGGTATAACGCATGGTCGCACCGTACATTATACCGAATAATAATATGTCACGTGATCTACAATTCACCAATCAGATGACGGGGATTTATTCAGGTGTTGTATAATATTTTATAGCGAATATTGTTACACTGGCTTGTTTTAAAGATTTGTGTTACTAGATGCTGGGAAAAACCAAGGAAAAAAACTGCTCTTGTAGTCTGGTTCCCTGATCCTACTTCACATGAAAACGGAGCAACTTATAGACGTTGGGAAATTGTCAGGTCAAGGAACCAGACTAACTGGCTTGCACCCATTCACGGATGTGTATCCAATTTCAAACAAAATGCAAACTAAATTTGGTAAATTGGGGTCAGTTTTTGGAAAATAAGTCACTTTTTTTTCCAATGATGGTGGTCTGACCAGTTGGAAATTGATACAAAAATTTCACTTTTCTTGAAAATGACAGCACACCGGGTGCCATGATTTCACAGACGCTTGAGATTATTATTCACTTACAGTCAAGTTAGGCACATGTATTTCATAATTATTTGGTACAGTGTAGGTTTGTTTTTTTATGTTTGAAAATGTTGTACCGGTATATTACCTTTTTAAGGGACAGTATACAAATATTGAATGCTTCGAGTGGTGTAGTAAAACTAGCCTCCCGAGGTGATCCATGGACCATTCTATTTTCCCGAGGCGAAGCCGAGGGAAAATAGAATGGTCCATGGATCACCGAGGGAGGCTAGTTTTACTTCACCACGAGATAAAGCATTCAATATTTGTTTTATAACACTTCACCCACAGATTCTGCTTGATTTTAATATTTTACATTATTTAAATCTGAACACAGTTGAAATAAACTTCAATTTCAATACAAAATTGGTGGAAAATGTATTTCTCTCTTAAAAACTAACCCTTCACGAAATGTTTGAACCCAAGTCTGCGGCGCGCTCTCTTTGGAATAATACGCGTTACGCACAACGCGCAACGCGCACACCAACATGCATTTGCACACAAATACCGCGCCGTGGAAATAGTACTTTGGTTGCTAATGGTATAGTACTTTGGTTGCTATGCGCATAGTACTTTTGGCCGTGCACAGAAAGATAACAAAATTAGAAAGTAACATGTGACTCGCTCTCGGCCAATCAAGACACAGAATCTGTGGGTGAGGTGTTATAATGAATACTATTTGAGAAAACAGGGGGGGGGGAGGGATGCGCAATATTTGGGTCTCGTAACTGGATTTCATTGCTAACGCATGTGCAGAAAAGTACTGAAACCACCTTCAATGTTTGTTTCTTCGGTAAGATACCATTTCAGGCAGAATAATTTCCCAGGGTATTTGCTACCAGTCCGATCCTCATTTTGACCAAGGCTTTTCTCACCAAATTGGGGAGTCTGTTTAATTGTCCGGTAATTGTCACTGTTCTAACATGATTGTTTGAACGTGCACATGTGCTAATTTTTTTTTAATTTTGCAAAAAGTTGCACCCTGTTGATGGACAGTACAAAAATAAATTAAAAAGGGAAGAAAACGTGTCACAAACAAAGTATTCGTAAGACCATTTTTACACTATAAAGAAACTGTGTGAAACATGAACAGACACACAACTGGAAAGTAACCAAACAAGAATGAATTCCAAGGTACTCAAGACTACTTACAGCGTTTTTCAAGTGAAAAAAAAGAAGAAATCAGTTGATCAGAGGAAAAGCGTAAACATGCTTAAAATTGAACAGACAGACACCCACCTTGAGCCCTGTGTTGGCATTGTCCCCCGACATATCCTCTACCAGACCTGACGCCTTCCCCGCCGAGGGGGGAAGCTTGGCCACTGATGCCCTGGGTGAGGCCACCCTCGTCCCCATCCTGGGTGCCGACGGAAGCCCCGTGGGTCTGGCCAAACCCTGCCCCGCGACGGCCGAGGCAAGGTTGGCGCTCCCAGCAGCCGACTCGCGGGAGAGTTTGTCCGGCCGGGCGAAGACCCCTCTCTTGGGCTCGCATTGGAAGTATCGGACCCCGTTGACGGATCCATCGTTCTTTCCCACGGCGTCGTCTAGGACGACCCCGGCCCACTGACCAGGGGCGAACTGCGTCTCCCCGAGGTACTGGATGTAGCCGCGCTTGTTGCCGCTAACGATGACCCGCTCACCGATGATGAAATTGTCTTTCGGGGTGGAGGAGTTTGAGGAGTTTGACGAAGGGACCACCTTGACGAGGTTGTCAGCATAGTGGCTAGCCTCCGACGGCTTCATCCCGACCACCCTGGCCGACTGGGCCACGGCATCTGTACGGAACCAGAGACTTGTCAATAAAGTTACGGCTTAGAAGAAAAAGGGTAAAACAAAAAAGAAACTTTCGGTTCCAAGAAACTGCGTACAACTTTGGAAGCACATGTGTGTGTGTACATGTATGTATTGGGTAGAAGAATATTCCTCCTGCTATTTAATTTAAACAGTCACAGACAGTCAAAATTCACTTCCACTTCCCCTGCTATACTTTTAACAAAGGCTAGTCACCAGCAGTCAGATCATATGTACAGCACACACTGTGACTAGTCAAACTGGGTCAACAGACAAATCAGGCAAGTTATGGTCACAGCTGTTTTACCATGTGCTCACCCGGAGTCAAGGCTTAGCTCTATCAAGTTACTTAAAGCTATAGTCCATCATTTGCAGCCATCCGAAAAGTAACTGGCGTAATTATTGTTGAAAAACAAACTTTTTTGTATCGGTAAATGTACCGGTACATGTGGACTGGGAATTCTTTAACTGTTGAAAACAGTCACTTGCCTAATTTTACTGAAAGGACTACTTGGCACAGAATGTATGTTTGCATCTATAGGAAGGTTAAAATAGTTCTAAGGCACAGGTTCAACCATGAACAAAACATTGAACTATCACCTTACAATGTACATGTACAACTTATAATACCGGTACATACATGTACCTGGGGCCAATTTCACGGCGCTGCTAAGCACAAAAAAAATTGCTTAGCACAAAAAAAGTGTGGCTTATAAAAGCAGGTTACCAGCCAAAACTCCATGTGATGTACATTGCTTGTGATTAGTATTCAGCTGTTGTTTGCTTCGCATGAAAATCCCATGGAGTTTTGGCTGGTAACCTGCTTTTATAAGCCAGACTTTTTTTGTGCTAAGCAAATTTGTGTGCTTAGCAGCACCATGAAATCGGGCCCTGTTTATACACATCAAACAATATGCACTAAATACCAGTACACATAAACACATGCATGCACACTGCACTAACACAACTTTAAATCCAAATGAACAATATGATTTCTGATTAATTTTGTTGCTTACACATACATAGGTCACTTGATGTACGTAGAAGTGCGTAGGGGCAGAATAACATTATGTGCTGTCACATTTGGGTGACATTTTATTAGTGGTGGATAGGCCTGGGCGAGTAGTGGATTCTCCTACTCGAGTACTCGTAGAGAAATAACTCGCGAGTAGTCGAGTACATGTACTTGCATGTAGTTTACTAAATGCCCATAAATTCAGAAAAAATTAACATGAACATTAAGAGGGAAGTTACTATGAATTAACAGCATGGAAGACACACCACATTCTTCAGCACTGAGTGTCACGATGATCGGCCGACCATCGTTGGAAATTGATACAAAAATACCACTTTTCTTGAAAATGACAGCACACCAAGTGCCATGATTTTGCAGGATGCTTTAGACTGTCATTCACTAACAGTCAAGTACAGTGTTTCATAATAATTTGGTCATTTTGTTTTTTCATGTTTGCAAATGTTGTACAGGATGAGTCAAAAAAGCGGAACCCAAACCCCAAAAATTGTATTTCATATTTTAAAAAATATGTAACACCAAACATAATAATGACTGAAAAGCCAATTTCATACGCTACTTTTAGATAAAAAGAATATCGGCATTTAAACACAATGACCCTAAAACCTGTTTCGTCCACACAAAAAAAAGCAGTTCATTGTGTATTCTGATTGTTTGGAACAACAACGAAAATGAAACAGAATACTTGTTTCAACAACTGTCAACAACTGTAGTGCACAATATCTTTATTAACAACCCTGGTTAGGCAAACAATATGATAGAATCCATTTTTTCTTAAAAGACGGGCCTTCAAAGGGACTTTGTTGAATATGTTTTTAACTTTTAAACTGAGGTTTTATCGCTGGTGATGTTTGAAGACAATTGTGACGGCGATTCACGAAATTGCATTGTTTGGACGAAAGAGGTTTTAGGGTCATTTCGTTTAAATTGTGATATTCTTCGAACGGATTTAGCAATTTCAGTGATTATTTCATCTAAAAGTAGCTTATGAAATTGGCTTTCCAGTCATTATTATGTTTGGTGACTACATATTTTTTAAAATATGAAATGTAATTTTTCGGGGTTTGGGTTGCGCTTTTCTTGACTCACCCTGTATATATTACCTTTAACATGTCCATGTATACATTTGCCATATAATTTAAATATTGCGATAGAATTGCGTCAACTCAGCTTGTGAAATATTGTCCAATTACAAGATATACAAATGGACGTGGAATGCGCAAAATCTGAGACAAACAAAACTTAGTGTACAAAAATTCCATAGGCTTGTCTAAGGGGCGTGGTTAACTCGCAAACGGCGATAGATCAATTGTGTATCAACCATCATCTGCTGGTGGGCAATTCCACGGTCACTCACGTTACCAGATTTAGTTGCCTTTTATTCTTAAATGTGTGTATTAATGTCAACAAAACACTTACATGTATATTTATATCTATGATCATGCAAAGAATGATAATCCTAAATACCAAAATTTAATTCATTAGGCCAAAAAAAAAGTCTCCGGTTTCTGGTATGGAGCTCGCCCAAAAAGTGGTGCGGCGACGCGGCTTTTTTTTTTTTTACCTGTTTTTTTGCTTCAAATGTCGGCTGTGGACTGCAATTGGTGCCCGACTAAACTTAGTGAAAATATATGGGAGTCCAGAGAGACCACATAAAGCTTATTCTCGATCATAACCCCATCTAAAACACGTTAAAATTGTACAGCAGCAGGATTCCAGTCAAACCAGTGAGTTTGGCAGTTTTGAGACATCATCTTTTATTGAAAAAAAAAACTTTTTCATTTTGCCGATGCGCATGGGTACGGCGATGCGCGCGCATACCAGAAACCGGAGACTTATTTTTTTTGGCCTTAGAAACGTTGGTGAGAAAAAAAGTTCTTTGTTAATTTCTCATTTGTATAATCTGTAATAAAAATGTGAAACTGGGTTAAAAAAATTTAAAAAAAATTCTTAGCCATGTCCATCAAACTGTTGAATTGCCCTGGCAGTGCTCAGAATGTAACGAGGACACCAACAATAAATTTGATAAAATGAAATGTACATGTATTGTACATTATTTCAAGTGGATAATACAATGTACAGAGCATAGGGCACACATGTACATTTACTGTATTATAATTTATATACAAACAGCGCAATGCCAGTACAGGAAGCCAGCAATGAAAACAATGTTTCCTCATTGAAATCCACACAGCAAGCTTCAATGAATCAATTTATGATCTTACAGTTGTCTGTCTTCCGATGAAAACTGAAGGAGAACATGGACTTGGCCTTCGACATGACGAACCACCGGTCTATGGGACACTACGCCCGCCCTCGCGATTCAAACATTTAAAAATCCAGGCACAGAAAAGCTCCAAAGTTTACGCAGCGTCAATCTTCAAATCACAGTTTTGGATCAACATGCACATATAGCCATAGAACTCCCTACATACAATGCCACATGAACATGAACTGTAACAGGTACTGAAAGTTCCACGAACAGACACACCACAAAACCTTCCACTACAGGAACCAATGCCTGGCATTTCCTGACTTTACTCTCTTTTTTTTTATTTCCCCCGCAGCTCTGGTTTTTATCAGTTCCCAAGCCACTTTCCTGTTTCTATCCAAAGGTCAGCGATCTATACCATTTTTACAACAGGGGATTGGAAATTGGATTTTCTTTATGTCTGTTTTTTATTTTTTTTTATCAAGTGGATTCCAGTCTGCGAAGTCAGTGGGGATTATTTGGGTTATCATTGTGTCTGGGTTGACAGCGCATTGTGGTCACGTAACGTGTTGCAGGCTCACTACAACTGGATGGGTGTTTTTTTTAAGGTACATGTACAAGACCATAGAATTATGAAATCAAATTTGATGGGTCAGTGGGCGGGGTCGACCTGCCGCCCACATTTCTAGGTATACAAATAAACTAGAGGGCCTACTTGAAAAATGTAGGCCCACTGGCACCTTGTTGCATGTAATGTGAAGTGTGGATAGGTATTATTGAAGTTGCTTGCAGCGTGCTATTTTCGAGCTTGTCCCCGAAAAACTAGAGATTGCTTTTAAACTGCTATTTTTCTAGCAATGCAAAAGTAACTCACTTTTGAATATGACATCAAACAAATAAAATCTGACCGCCTCTAGTCTTGCAATTTTCTTGCCGAAAAACTACTATAGACTTTGTTTTTAAATTACTATTTTTTCTGGCAATGCAAAATTTACTCACTTTTGAATGAAACATTGAACAAATAAAATCTGCCCACGTCTACCGATAGATATGGAAATTTTCGATATAAATTTGGAACTATTATGCCATCTTTATCTTGAAGGAAATATCTGCTTCATAAAAGAATTCTGTGCACCAGCACATAATAGCAAGAATTAGAAAAAATATTTAATTTAAATCTTTAATTTCTAGACAATACCGATATGTCCGCATGTGTACCTCATACATATTCATGAGCACGAGCCAAATCCCTACTGGTCCATTCACCATCACGTGTCAGCCACTACTTTTACTATAATTTATCACGCGCACACACGAGGATACACGCACACGGTGAATACGCATGCGCAGGCGACTATCGCATACATGTAGGTTAGCCGTGCGATAGTCTACTACGAATGCACTTTTCTAAGCAATCTTTAAACTATCGCATGGCGGTAGTGTGCAAGTGCAAACATAGCTACATCACAAGATGGCGGTACGCGCACAGCAACGTTTTGCTGAGATTTATAACTCAACGAAATTTTGGTGAATATGTACGTATGAGGTAACGTGGTTTATCTTTCGGTGGATAGTCGATATTACATGTAGCTCCCCTTCGGTATTGGATGTGCAGAAACTTCACTCCAGCTTCATGAAAAGATGGCGGCATGCACACAGCAATGCTTTGCTGAGATAACTGATCCAAAACTCAACAAAATTTTGGTGAATATGTATGAGGTAAAGTAAAACAAATATAACACGGTTTCTATTCGGGTGGACAGTCGATTAGCTCCCCTTTGTATAAGAAGTTGAGGAACATCGCTCTTGCTATAGATATGAAAAGATGGCGGCGTGCTCACAGCAATGCTTTGCTGAGATAACTGATGCGAAACTCAACAACATTTTGGTGAATATGTATGAGGTAAAGTAAAACAAATATAACATGGTTTATATTTGGGCGGACTGTCGATTAGCTCCCCTTTGTATAAGAAGTTAAGGAACATCGCTCTAGCTATATGAAAAGATGACGACACGCTCACAGCAATGCTTTGCTGAGATAACTGATGCGTAACTCAACAAAATTTTGGTGAATATGTATAATGTTTATATGAGGTAAAGTAAAACAACTAGGCCTATAACATGGTTTATATCCGGGTGGATAGTCCATTATTAGCTCCCCTCGGTATTGGAAGTTGACAAACTAATTCCCCCTGCTCGTCTCGGTTAATAGTTTGTCATCTTCCAATACCTCAGGCATCTATTATCAACTATCCACCCTCAAACTATGTTATATTTTACTCTAAAATGGTATAGTCTCTCTTTCATATTTCATGTCAATATTCATTATAGCATTTCACTAAACTGAAAGCAAGGCAAGCGACCCCTGTCAAAAAAGTGAAATTTCCCATCCCCGGGAAAAAAATGTTTACAGGATAAAAGGAAGTCCTACATGTATGCACAAAAGCTAGGCCTTGGGCACTCAGCACAGAATTTTTTTTTTTTACACGGATATATATTTAACTTGGGATCAGGAGTATGATTGTGACAAGAGCACCAGGCATGGCAGGGAAGAAGTGTTTTGTTATTGTGTGGTACCGGTACGTGATTTGTGGTAAGTTTTAAGTTTTTCAGAAGATTTTTTTTTCTTCAATCACAAATCCCACACGTTTGTTCAAAAACTGGACTTAGATAACTTTTTGTTTTGTGGACTTAATTGACATGGCATCATAAAGAATTGAAAAACATGAAGAGTTTCATGTTTGGTTCATAAACAGACATAAACATGTACACTTGATCTCTCTTTTCCTTAAATGTCAAAGCCAAGGGGGAAAATGTGTTTCCTATCCGCTCCGTTCACAAGTACCCCCTCAATGGCAAAGAAAGTACAGTTGGGGGTGACGGACCGATGCCATCTTGCCTGACTGCAATTTTGCCGTGACTCGTGGCCGTACCACGGCGTGTACATAGTACAAATCCCCTGGTGTATGTGCGGCACACACATGGAACAATGCGCGTCAACCAGCTAAATGTCCCGCCCATGGGACGTCTTGCTAGGTAAAAGGGCGCCCTCTTTCGTTGGCGCACAGAGCCCATATAGTACCAAAGGGAATTCATCACGCGCTCCATGTGTGTGTGTAAAAGACATTAGCGCATGATTCAGTCCGCGAACCAGCACGCGCGCGTACTCCATTCGTTTCCACTACAATTTCTGGTTCTAAATGACATCACACTTCTGTACTCTATAGCCTACCATTGGGGGAAAAATAGGGTAAGCTGGTGGATACAAGATTTTTTTTTGGGGGGGGGAGGGGTGTTTTTTGGCTCTAAATTGTTATAGCTAGAAAAAATAGGGTTGGGTGATGGTCAATATTAAGGGAATAAATGTGTGCTCCGGAGGTTTTTATCACTCTGTTTAATACCACTTAGAGTCTGGGTGCTGATAATTACCCGAGCCGGAGGCGAGGGTAATTATCAGCACCCAGACTCTAAGTGGTATTAAACAGAGTGATAAATACCGACGGAGTACATATTTATTCCCATTCATAAATACCTTTTCGGTAAAAAAAAATCATATAATTCGTTCAAAACATCCCGATTTTGTTCAACAAATTCACTTTATGCTTTTTGAAACATCCCTCCTGCAAAATAATGGAGTGTTCAGCTGGCGAGTAAGATGAAAACAACCCTTTTATGGAGTTTGACGCGCGCGTATCATGTTCTGCGCGATGTCGCGCAGAACGCACCTGGCGCGTTGCGTTTTGAATTTAGAACTATAAAATTCTAACTCCCTGGTAGTGTTGCGCATGCCTACGTGAGGATTGTGAACGTTCAACCAATGAAACGATAAGAGGCACTGGATTTTTAGGAGTCCACATTTTATTGTGACACTGGAAAAGTGTTTAAGACCAGCTAGCCATGTCTTTATCATCCGTTTAATACCGGCCACGTGACGGGCTCTCGACCAATAGGAATGGCTAAACTGTCTGAGGTATTTATGAATTTTGTATACTGGGGGGAGGGGGAAATTCATTTGTAACAGTTACATGAGAATTAACTGTTTTTTTTTACATCACTGTATCTAAGACAGTTTACCCAATGCTACCAGTCGAGGGCGTGGGTAGTTTTAAACGGTTGATAAACACCAACCGGTCTTAAAACACTTTATTCCTGCACCATTGTGCACGAGCGCCAATCTCCATAAAAGGAGATTTTCAGCACTACGTGTGCGAGGCACATACCATATAGCAAGAGGGGTGCTTCACAAAATACACGTATGAAGTAAAATTGTTGAACAAAATCATTGGAAAATTGCAAAGTTTTGACTTGTTTCGACTGTTTGACCGAAATGTTCAGCTCGGGCCATTATCCGCGTCCAGGCTCCTAGCCAGTATTAAACATACTCGTTTAAAACTGGCCAAGCACACTGCTTTATTTGCTGCGCTGTTTGTAGGATTCGTTGCATGGTGCAGCAGGACTGTACTACCGGGTGACCAACAGTTTACCTGCACCCGATTTCACGAAGCGCTGCGACGCGTCGCAACTCAAGTTACGATGTGTAACACGTCGCAACTCGCGACGCGTCGTATCTTCCATTTCACGAAAGTTGCGATGTGTTGAATGCGTCGTAAGTTCCTTGACAACGGCTTAAAACACCTCGCAAGTTATGACGTGTCTAGTGGTCATCGCAAAATACGAAGAGTCCGTTTCTAAGCCAGTTTAAAGCCATAAACATGACAAAAACGAGATTATAATACCGAGGCAATGTGTGTAAAGTTGTCAATAGAAAATTCATTGAATAATTATGAATTAGACTGGAATATTGCAGTTGAAATTTCAAAGTAGCTATACAGTCCACTGAGAGCTTGTTTTCCTTCAAAATTGCATCGCACGGCCACCATTTTGTTTTACGTTTTAACAAATTTCGAGCTGAGATCCGACGACTCTTTGTTGAATATCAGACGACTATTTACTGTACGCTGGCTTTATACATAAAACAGTCACCAAGTTGTGCTAGAAATACACTTACGACGTGTTTCGTGAAATGATTGCAGGAAGCGTCGCAGCTGCGACGCATCGTAGAGATACAACGCGTCGCATCGCTGCGATGCATCGTAAGTTACGAAGAGTTTGATGAAATCGGGTGCTGTACTTACAATGTATATATATGTACTTACCTGTATGTAAAGAATTAATAGCATCATATACAATGTACATGTACTACATACTTTTTTGTTACTGTAAACGTTAGTGAACCGGCTCATCCTCTTCTATTGCTCTAACGTCTCCAATTACGGTTACTGTCAACTATGCATTAATATGCAAGGCGTAGAATTGCATACGCGTAGTTCAGTTTACCAAGAGTATCTTTACGCAAAATTCTAAGTACGGTAAAGTAGGCGACTAAAGAAATATTACTCAGAAACATAAAAACATAGACAAAGAAAAAGTACTCTGTATGCAAAAAGAAACGTACAACTAGAGAGCAACAACAAAAATCAACAAAAAACACTTGGAAATACATTGTAAAATCAGTTTTACACAAGCACACAGAAAAACAAATCGACTCTTTGAAAACTGTAGATGTTTTTACAGCAAATGTACATTACAATGTACGTACGCATAAATCCAACTACATGCACAAAAAATACAGTGTCTCATGCTCTATACTTTGCAGTGGTTTGCTATATAGCATCAACTACGTGCTGCCACTTGCAAACATCCTACCTTTGATACGAGTGGCGTGTAACAAGGATGCTGTGTGGACAACAAAGAGAAGAAGACAGGAGACAAGACTTGGTCAGCACACAACTCCGACTATGCCAAATTACCCTATTAACCCTAACAGAACTCAACCCATCAAACCCCAACAGCACATATTGTTGGAATCTGTCAGGATGGGTACAGTACCCCTAAACTGACAGTCTTTACATTGGGTTGGCACACTTCCAGAAACTAAGTCAGAAATATGTGTGCACAGCTTCCCATACATATGGTGTTGGAATTTGCCAGGATGGGTATGGTTTTTAGTAAATAATGCTAGGGAGTTAGGGTTAATACTGATGGACCCAAGGCGAGGGGGGGGGGGGGAATTGTGGCAAGGTCCCCCCCTAAAAAAATTAAACCAAAGAATACATGAAGGTGACAGCTTGGAAAATGATGCTCTAGTCCACTCATCCTCTTTCCATCCACTGAATTGCAGTTAAAAAAAAAAAAAAAAAAAAAAGGAGGAAAAAGGCACTGCCTTCCGGTGGCATCAGATGGACCCCATCCCACTTCTGACACCATTCTACTTCTAACCCCTCCCCTTCCCCCCCCCCTTCCACCTCCCCTTTGAATTTGAAACAGCTAGTCAGTCAGTTCCGTCTTATTTTCCACCCTTCTCCTACTATCCCCTCTACCTGCACTCTCCTTAAAAATAAAAATACTGCAAGTAAAACTTACACGATCCCCCCTGGCATCCTGCCAATCCTGCCAGTTTTACAGGCAGTTAGTAAGGACAATTTTCAGTGACAGCTTTGATTGTCCACCCGGCATTACCAGTTCTCAGTTGAATGGGGAGTTTGGGTTGAATGGAGAGTTTCGGTGAGACACCGGACTAATTAGAGACATTAGTATCTCCCAAGAGACCTCGTAAATATCCATATTGGAAAGGATTGTTCTGACGTCAGCCTTCTCTCCACAGACCACCTTTCAAGTTTGATTGAGATTGATGACTGAACTTTACAGTGAACACACGCATGCATGCACACACTGACACAACCAGGAATACGTGATCGCGATATCCCCCTGGCTGGCTTGAAAGCCTGGGGGATAAAAAAATTGTTCAACATCCCCAGTAAATGTTCCTCACCTTCGACCTTGACTGTTTGTGAATTCAGGCTGCCCGGCCGTGGGATCCCTCCGGACTTGCTGATCCGCGACGGAGGCTTGAGTCCCGAGCGAGGTGTTGCCATGGTTACAGCAGGAAGCGGTTCCTCTTGTTTTGTTCCTTGAGAGATGGTGAAATCTCTGTCCTCTCGCTATCTCATCACCTCATTTGGATATTTTGGTCTGAGCAGAAAGGAGAAAAAAAAAATTCCTCTTTTACATGTAGCTTGCCCTCATATTTGATGCTGAAACATGGAGTCATGTTTTGGTACCGGTAAAAAGGAAGAAAATATAGTGAATTTAGTCAATAGAGACCAATACACAAGAGGAACCATAATATTCACTGACGTGTACAAAATATAGGGCATGCGTATGATGTCATCAGTCCTATAGAGATGAACAACTTGGCCTCACTGAGGCCAAATCTCGTATGGGAAAACGGCTGTGCATACAAGTCTGCAATATTCATTGTACCCCAAGTAAATCCAAGAGCCAAATACTGGCACATGGAGATATAAACAGCCCCCTCTAGAGGCGGTACACACAATTTTTATTTATGAGCTTTTTAGCAAACCCCGTACATGTACCGCTACATGCCATATGCTTGCATGTCTGAAGTGTTGCAAATGTATATGTACCAGTACATGTACATGTACATTTGTACACTTACAGTACATTTGAACATGTACATGAACAAAATATTCAAATTAAATATTGCACAATTCCAAGAACTAGCTGAACTTTTCATGTTTTTAAAGCCCATTAATACCTACATGTGCCACATTGTATTATATTCTAATTATTTTCCGATGAATCCAAAATATTGCAACAGTACAGGGAGTAACAAGCAGGACAGTTTAGGGAAGTACACAGGCTAATCTTGGAGTAACTTCTTGACAGAAAACGCTGTTAATTTTTTATTGCCACTTTTTTTCATTCATTCATGTCCCAACATAACACGATGAAACAACATGTCACTTGCAAAGTTGAATATTGTTAAAAAAAAATTCAAATTAATTAATTAAAGGCATAATAATACTGGTAATAACCAGTATATGGACCTACAGATAAATTTAATGAGAAAAACCATGCTCAAACTCAGTGAAGGTAACCCCTTGGATGGTACAGAACACCCTGTCAAATTATTCCACCGTGATGGTAATTGAAAACAATCACTACATTATGAGGTTTTAAAAAAAGTGTGTCCGCGGGCACACATTTTTACATGCACTTGCGATGACATTTAATTACAAGACCAAAAATTGTGCACGTTTTTGCTTCTGTTTTTTTCTCAAAACATAGAGTAGCTAGTGAGTTCAAAATTTCCACGGTAATTTAAGGCATCCTACTTAAGATGTTGAACAATTTTATTGCTTCAACGAAAGAAGTGCACAAAACACAGGAAATAATCCTACATGTATCTTAAATAAACAAATGCAGAATGCCTACCCCCAATACGCATTATGCATGTCTCTGGAGTATTTACATTACTATGTGGTACATATACTTGTACATTATACACTCTGGAAAAACATTTACCCTGTTTAAACTAACCTTGAATGACAGTGGCTGGTGTTTGTGTATCGGTTTCCAAGTAATGGTATTTATGGGCCAGGAAATTATATTATCATAGCTGAATGCCCTCGGGCAATGGCAAACATATTGGGTGTAGGATTGTTTCAGCCCTCAATAAATATATTCCTGTTTCTATAATTTGATTGGGGAGGCCAATGCAAAGATATGTTTTAGTTGAAATGTGTTCAATGTCAGACCACAAAATTGAATATTACTAGACATGACATTTATGCACAGTGTATACATTTTAAATTTCAAAGCAAAACTTTAAGGGTGATAATACTGGTGAGTTTTTACTGTGACAAGTTATGCAAAATGGTTCTCGGTTAATTTAATCAGGGAAAAAACCCACAACGTACATGAACACACACTCAAGTCCATCACAAGTCAATCACAAGTCAGTCACAAGTCCATCACAAGTCAATCACAAGTCAATCACAAGTCAGTCACATGTCCATCACAAGTCCATCACAAGTCCATCAGAATTTCATGACGAGTCAATCACAAGTCAATCTCAAGTCAATCACAAGTCCATCACAAGTCAATCACAAGTCAATCACAAGCCCATCACAAGTCAATCACAAGCCCATCACAAGTCAATCACAAGTCCATCACAAGTCAATCGTAAGTCCATCACAAGTCAATCACAAGTCCATCACAACTGAATCCCAAGTCCATCACAAGTCTATCACAAGTCAATCACAAGTCAATCACAAGTCCATCACAAGTCCATCACAAGTCTATCACAATTCAATCACAAGTCAATCACAAGCCAATCACAAGTCCATCACAAGTCCATCACACTTCAATCACAAGTCAATCACAAGTCCATCACAAGTCCATCATAAGTCCATCACACTTCAATCACAAGTCAAAATCACAAGTTCATCTCAAGTCCATCACAAATCCATCTCAAGTCAATCACAAGTCAATCACAAGTCAATCTCAAGTCCATCACAACCCCATCACAACTCTATCACAAGTCAATCATAATCACAAAGTCAATCACATGACAGGTCACAAGTAACATCCCATGTGCTCCAACAGGACTGGAAGAGCAACATCCGACCGCAGAGACATCGCATCTGATTTTCTTGGCCTGATGAGGACACCATGCCAACGTGGCATCTCAATGACTCAGGCCATATGCTCACCAGCTCCACTACGTCATACATAATACTCCTCCTCTATCACGGAGCAAGAACACGTGCTGCATACTTGCCGGCCACCATGCTGCTAATGATGCAGCGTGTGTGCCGCTGCGGTATCCTCATTTGCTCTGCGTTCAGTGACTCGCACGAAGTGCATGGCATTTGGTGAGGCGGGGCAAATTACATGTATGATGGATTCATGAGGGTAACTTGAGCCACGTGTGCCGTCCTTAATTGAATGTCTCACACTGAGTGACAGACGATGAATGTGCGGTACAAAAGCAGCACTATTCATGTACATTGTACAGTACACTATAATGTATGTAAATGTACAAAAATGTATACACATGTAGTGCTGTTTCAATGGCATTGCCATGTACAAATACATGTATTCATGTACATTTTGTATGTTCCGTACACTACTTCATACAGTACATGTTAATGTGCACCAACTACATGTAACTTCACGATACATACCGGTACATGTATCATGTATACATACATGTACATGTACATTGTACCGGTACATGTACCGGTATACAGACAAATGTATACTGTCAGCATACTGATCTGATACACTGTGCCCTCTGGAGACATGCACACAATAGGGAACAAAAGATTATATACATCTCCACAGGGCAATTTCTATATAGATGAATACGTCTCCACAAGGTTTTCACGAAATAGATATGGATTTTACTCAAAAACTAGGAATTTCCAAGGTATGTTGATCCGTCGCAAATGGTAGAGTTTTTAATAGAAAAGGGATATTACATGTATTAAAGTCCGAATTTCAGCCAAGGAAATTAATTCTGGTTAAAATAAGAGCATTTTGAAACTGTACTTTCAAACTCAAAAACTTTAGTACACGAGAACAAAGAAATGTCTCCACAAGGATACAAACTTCAGTACGTGTATGTGCATGTGTACATCTATGACAAGGTAAAGATACGGTACACAACATCTGGATACAAATGTATGGGTGGAAAACACATGTGAAAACACTTGGCGATTGTGCACATACCCGGTATGTACTGTAGTTACGGCCCCTTTTTATTAGTGTGAGGTGTTGGCAAAATGAGACGGAACTCGACAGGCACAGGCCGTAGCCAACAAAACAAAAACAAATGGGGTAATTTGATTTTTTTTGCAGATTTATCGATATATTTGTAATCTTTGTCAACTACACATATTTCAAAAGAGATAGTATAAAAATTGAGGAATTTAAGCACATTTGGGCAAGTCCAAGAATTATTGCAAGCTATGTCCCATACGTAACCAAAGTTTAACTCTTTAAGATATTCATGGATTTCGGTGTTTTATATGTCTACTGTTGGGCATCTTCAGGGAAGTACCAGTATGGGACAAAAAGGGGACCTTTTCTTGTAGGATGGAACGCCGTATTATCGCAGTACTTATCACGTTTCTCGTTCGGAATAGAGATTGCCCACTAACCTTCCAGAATTGTCCTGTCTTATATTGTAGTATAACTCTTCCTTTTTAAATTAATATAAAAAAATCTGACGGGTGGTGTGGTTTATTCCGTGTACGATGCCTGTGAAAATAGACATGCGCGGCGTGTGCAAACGGAGGTGGACTCCCTATTATCGCGGTATGCGGGAAGTGGTTTTTATAATGATCCCAACTTTTTTGTTCATAGTTTATCTTTGACCAAAACACCCCCTGAATAAAGTCTGATATTTTCCCTGTAACGTTCAAGTTGATTAAAGACAAATTTTCTGCAGGATGATTTCTTAAGACCCTGCCATTCCCCCGAAAGGAGAACACAAACCCCTGAGGCAAGTCTACTCATCGGCGATTGAGGGCGCCATTCACTTTACACGGTGTGCCGTTTTATTTTCGCTAATGCGCGGTGCTTATTTTGATCCCGTAAAAGTTGTTACGATTTCGCGCTGCAAATATCGTCGTTCGACTTCATTTTACATTTGCAGCTGAAGAATGGGAACCAGACAATGGAACTTTCATGGACAGAGCGCAATTAAAGATTTATGTTAAAATATAAACGGTACCTTTTAGCAGACACGGTGAGGGAAAATTTTGCAAGTTTTGGAAAACGTTAATATTTATTAAAATCGTTAAAAGTCCCGAAAGACACAACATTTTTTAATCGTCCTTTTTATACAACTCGGTAGAAAATCCTTGCTGACTGGTGAACTGGATAAAAATCGCCACTTGAAGGAGTTTTGACACTGTAAAAAGAGAAATTTCCCATGCCGCGATAATAGGGATGCCGCGATAATAGGGAGTCCGACTATACATACCGGGTGCATGTAACTACACAATTGCCAAGAATTCCTACAGCCTCCGTGAAATTTCCAATATTAGACAGAAAAATGTTTGCAAATGTTAATTTAATCCTCTACACATACATACATGTACATTTGTACATGAGCTCACCTACCGTACCCAAAAGTTCAGTTTGCTGCCTGAACTGAA